GCTCGGTAAGAGGACAGCTGCTCGGCTTATGGGTGCGCTGATTGAATGGCACAAACTCAAAAGACATTTTAAAAGCGAAGTCCAAGGTTGATCTTGAGGCTTAATAAAGTCAGCTCGCGGATGTGTGCATGTATGTTGAACTTCTGTCACACCGTATGTAGCCAACGGCGCTAATCGGAGGTGCGGGTGGAGAGTGGAGTGTCATAATCGTGAGCAAACCGTGCATCATTCCCTGTATTTAGAAGAGTTTGGTAAAGTTACATTTTCCATTCTGAATAAAGTCTCAAATTGCTTTCCTTGGGTCATTCTCATCAGTGGGTGTGAGTAGGATTATGAAACTTAAGATAAATTAGAGCAGGTTGCTTAGCTTATTAATTTGTAAGGTCAGACATGTTCAAGGCTACAATGTCGTGCCATCTTTTATGTATTAACATAACATACATATTTTAAATTACATCTGTACCAGTTTTTGTTGGCCTTATCACATTTCTCCTGTTGTCTGGCTCTTCCCAGCTCTATAATCTACCCACTGGTCATGACTGGAGTACAGTATTACCTCGTTCGCGATGGGTACCTACTGGAGATGCTCGTGAATTGCAAATGTAGTCGATCATGATATTGGTCTACGAAATCTTTTATCTCTCATCACATTCTCTCTCATCAATCTCTTTATCTCCGTCCATGCAGTCGTGTAGAGTTCCAGATGCCATCCGCAGATAGCCAAAACCTGGGATATCAATTTCGCGAATAACTAGGGAATGCTGTAATTGGTTGGCAGTGCAATGAGGAGTCCTCTAATCCGCTAATTGGCCGACCTTACACTACCCCACCCCCATCTAACGGGTGTAAAGTCAGCCGGCTCCACACTTGAACCAAGCCAAGCAGTTGCGCAAACCAAATCGCTCGCACAATCGCTCGCGCAACTTAAATCGCCTGCGAGTAGTTTGGAGAATGTCTCAAATTAAGCGGCGCATTCGGCATCGTTACGACCAATCACAGTTCACGAATGTTGCAGCACGTGACGATCGCTTGAGCGTATTGTTGCTTGATAGTCGAGTCTGCATCTGCTGTAAGCAACTGGTTGCGTCATGTACACAACCAGGGGTTACGTAACTGTGTGCTCAGGTGTGGACTTGGTTTATGAAGAGTTTAAATGTAATTATGTAATAATTTACTGTAATATCTTTAACTGTGACTGCATGCTTTAGGTGCACAGTACCCAGCTTGTTATACACGTTCCTCGTGCCTAGAATATTTTTAATCAGTGCTCATCTTTACTGGAAGATGATCTGAAACATTGGTGAAAACACCACATTCCTCTATGCCAAGGGGCTTCCATTGGACGAACACTCCAATTTCCATCCAATGGGTGCCGCAGCCTCAGCAGCTGATGCTCACGTGTCTGACCTTGGAGGCATGAAGGGGCCAAGTTCACCTTGGCTGACATTTGAATCCCGTAAGATAATTGAGTACATTTTATATTCACCCCATACTTAACAGCGCGCCAGGCTATTACGAAAGAAGGCGATACATTTCGTAGACAGTCGCCGAGTGTGGGTGGGTTTATAGGGGGAGGCGATAATCGCCGCATGTAATTTGCGGGCACTTAAAGTTTTATTTATTTATTTGGCAAACCTGTACCACGACTCCGGCACGTGTGCCCTACTCTCTTTTGAATTACGTCACGGACAAACCTTTGGGTAGAACAACCCCCAGCATTAACCAGGGTGGCCGTGGGACTCGAACCATGAACATCGTCTGCAAGAAGCGGCAAAACACGATACCGCTCGGTCAAGTCACCGCCCACGATCTTATTGGTTGTTTTCGTTGCTGGTTTTGCATGTGGCCATGAATCCTTAACTGGAGGCGAGGGTTGTTGGATCGCCACTCAAATGTTGTGAAACTCCCTTCCAGTGGGCGCCGAGGAGTCGTACCCTGGCTCACCAGGAGACGGCAGTACAGCAGGAAAGTGGACAGTTTGGTTTGTGTGGGATAATGCTTCCCCGTGCGTTGCTTGGGTTTTCTCCGGGTGGTCTGGTTTCAATGCCACATGTAAACACTCGTGAATCGGTCAATGACGCATTCACGTTCATAGGATCACAGAGTTTGGGCAATTTGTTGGCGCTGGATCACCACATTGGCTGCCGTCCCAATTGTCTGTGTTCTTCGCTATCATCCTGTTATCTGCGATGTAAAGTAAAAGGTTCCTCTTTAACCATGGCAGAACTTGGTGACCTTTGCTAAACTCGGCCGCGCACTGCTTGGGTTTTCAGAGCGGCTGTTGTTCGTTTCACGTTTCCCACCAAGTTCATGCGAGACGTTCGTTTTAAAAGCAGTTGCGAGTCCGCGGTGTTGACGGATCTGCCCCACGTTTTGCCGTTAAGCCTCGCACACACATGGTGTTGCGATGCGGGGCGTCGGCGGTCTCACGCTGCACAACCCCCGGCACGGCGTGAACCTCGTCCCGTGGCGCCCGTTGGGTTTGCCCGGTGCTGCAATCTGCGTTCAGCTGCTGTGCTATGGGGTCGGCGTGCGGTTACTGTGGGATCACCGTGGGTCTCTGGCAGACGGGGTCACGGCTTGGGGCACAGCTGTGTGAACTCTATTTTCGTTCAGTGAGAATTCGTACTCTGCCTAATTGGGCCAAATGTTTTTTTTTATTTTTTCCGTCGTCTCGGCATTGTCAGCCCTGAGCCGGTGGTGGCAATTCCATTTGTCTGTGACAGTGTCCCCAAGTCTCACCAGATGACAACTACTGTAGACTCACCGCCAAGTGGTGCGGCCTCATCGGGCGAGGAATTGCCGATGATTTTGACCATTGCCCAGGATTTAATTTGCGACCAACGATGTCATTAGCCAATTGCTCGGGAGTGTTGGCCTGCACGGACTGTGCTGGATTCAACCATGTCCACGCGCGTTCATTATGTGGGGTTGCTGCCACGTGTTACATTACAGATGCTGTGCAGCAGCTTGGGGTTAGTGATTGGGCACCGCAGTGAGTGGGATCGTGAGTCGATTCAGGAATCCATTCCTTGTTTTGTTTAAAGTTGACAGGTTTTTTTCGTGTAATTTCTCAGGTTTTTCTGCCCTGTTTATACATTCTCGTTTGCTTCGTGAGCCCGAGTGTGACGTTCGCTTATGAACTGCATATACGGTAATTTGCAGATATTCTAAATAATTTGTTTTCACGCGCGCAATTCACTGCCGTCTATCGTGAGCAAAATTAATAAATGTACGTGAATAAAGCAGCACATCACTAACTTGCCTAATTAGCACCTGCTAGTGATTAATTGCAGCTGTCCCTACGTGAAGTGTTGTATGTATATGACAGCTTCGCATGTTAGCCTGTGTTAGCATGGATAGTTTTACATCAGTGTTAATTAGAATCGGAAGTAATTAGTATTGCGACTTGTCCTGGGTGACCCAGAGTATGGAATGAGTTGCTGGTGTGTCTGTGTGTGTGTGTTACCACACACTTCAGCCCACTGTGCTACAAACCCGGCGACCAGAGTTCGATTCCTGCTCATGGACACCACCTGAACCGGTCCTAGGCCTCCCTTAGGTCGACTCTGCCTTACATGAGTATCTGGTGCAGTGTGTAAACATCGCCGCTTGGGGGAGACAAAGGCGGTCGGGTGGCGTGTTGGCCACCCACCCCCTCGGGGTATCGTTCTGCCCTCGTAGCTGCTCGCTAACGGCACTTGCCCCAACAGTCGGTTGAAGGCTATATAGGGGATCTTTGTCTTTGTTACCACCAGCATGGGGATGCAAATGCTGGCCTACTGCAGCTTTAACCGGCCAGGTGGCTCCATGGTAGACCGAGCGGCCCACAACCAGAAGGTTACGAGTTCAAATCCTGGTTGGAGGTGGGATGACTCGGCTCATCATCTCTCCCGCGTAGTGAGTTCAACGGAGTTGCACACGTACTTCTTGGAGGCAACACATTTATTAAAACCAACGCACAAGATAACCTTATTGTGGTGGACTACCAGGCTAACTACTCTAATTACACTGGAACTAGCTACGACCGACCGGGCCCCAGCTTGGGGTCCAGGTACACGTGTTGGTGACTCTTGTAGTACGTGGAACTTAGATTCTTCAGGATAAACAACAGTAGCCGGTCCCTCTCTGGGACCCGGCTGATATCCTCTGTGGCGGGGCTGGCTCCGCCCTTAGCCACGACCACCTTCTAGAATCCTCGAGCAGGATCTCGACCCTGTCACGTGACCACCCCTAGCCCCCACCTGGGGCCCCTGTGTAGACTTTACCCAGTCAGGTGTCCTCTAGTGTCAACCAGAGTGCCATGGCCTATAGTAACCCGATTCCCTTGGCCGGCACACTGACACCCCGTCCTGTAGGGGTCGGCACTGCACGCAGAGCGTGGTGCCATCCAGCGCTGTCGGTCAGCGCTCACCAAGCCCCTCTAGGGCCGGTACTGCACCCACATGTGAGTGGTGGCCGCGATGTCAATACATAGCATGCCGTGCCTCTCGAGAGCCGGCATTACACAGTGACATCCGCGATGTCACTACATATGTACCAATTGGTGCAGAAGTTCATATTGGTTGTCCTATGGATAGACCTCCTGCCCCCTGCCACTCTCCCTGCCGTAGGAGTGAGGAATCTCCACTACTGCCTTTTTTAAGCTGGACCATTTAGTAAACTGTGAACCATATAGTAAATGACTGTGGTCTGTACTCCTTCAACGGAGGAAGAATAGAATAACAACATCAAGTCTGAAGCCCTCTTGTCGTGGCCAGAAGACCCTTACATTGTCTGTATGTTGAACTTCTTTCTGAACCTACGTGGCCAACCTTCTAATCGGAGGTGCGGGGGGATGGGCCACAAACCATCTAGCTCCTGAACGTATTGCCGCCGTACACAACGACAGAATATAATTTGAGCGGGAAATGACATTAACTTTAAAGGGTCACTCGTGAAACAACCCTGTGGCCCCGGGCTGAACGAGCAATGTCCGTGTCCCGTGTTGGTGCGTGCAGTGCAGAGTAGTGGAGCAGCAGCAGCAGCAGCAGCAGGATGGCGAAGAAGGCAATCATCTCCAAGGACGACTTGGAGGAGCTTCGGGAGGCGTTCTCCAAAGTTGGTGAGTGCGTGCGTGCGTGCAATCGCAGCGGGACAGGGTTCAGTCGTGCTGTTCGTCAACGGCGGCTCGGACATGTTAACTACCTCGCCTGGTATACAGGAGGTCGATCCTGACCCCAACGCCTCTATATTTGGAGTTTGTGTGTCTCTGCCCGTGGTCGCATGGATTTCTCTCCGGGTCCTCCGGGCTTTTACCTTCTACGTTTCGAGTCGACGTGCATTTAGAGTATCTGGCTGCTATTTTCTGTTTTACTCGGTAAGGCCCACTGAGCTACGTAGCTCTTTTGTTTGGAAACGACCTGGCCACAAAAATGATAGCTCAACGAAGTGGCTTATCACGTGGAAATTGATTGCAGCCAAATACTCTAAACGCACGTTGATTCCAAATGCGGAGAGAAAATCCGGATCAACAGGCATCGTCAGGGTCGGCATCGAACCCATGACCTCCTGCATACCAGGCGATATCTCGCCACCGCGGTGCCCCTCATGAGTGAAGAACACTGTTGGGTTCTGTGCCCTAATTACCTGCCCCCGTGCCCCTAGACATGGATGGCAATGGCTACGTCAATGACTATGAGCTGCAGGAGCTCTTCAAGGAGGCCAATCTGCCGCTGCCCGGCTACAAGGTGCGCGAGATCATCACCCACCTCATGTCCGAAAGCGACACCAACCGGGATGGCAAGATCAGCTTCGAGGAGTTTGTGTCGGTAAGGATTCGGCGATGGGGGGGGGGGGGTTGGGGAAGGGGGGGTGGGAGGTATGGCTACATTTTGGCGTGATGTAGGTGCAGTAAAGGGTCGTTAAACCCGCCACCGCCACCCGACACAGCCAATCAGTAATGTTTGTCACGTAAACAAAAGGTGGTAATTCGTTACTAGCACAGCACACCGGTGTGTTGGAGAGTAAGCCCACAACATTTACAATTCGAGTTCGCGACGTTTCGTCGGTAATTACAACCAGCAACATCGGTCGACAGCCACCTCACTCTGGCTGTCGCCTGCTAGTTTATTTGCATTTGAGTAAAGGCCAAAGGGCTCCCTTAATGATAATAATAATAATCATAAACACAATTCCTAGCATGCATATTTCGTGTGATGTTCGTTCGGGAGCTCGGGAGGCGCGGAGCCCAAACTCAAATCCCCTCTAAGCCAGGCTGAATAGATGAAGAGACAAAATATATTTGCGAGATGCGAGAGACGCGCTAAGAGCTCACCGGGTCGAGCTTGTGGTAAACCGACCGTCGGGTGACGTCGATGCTGGGGGGTGGGCTGGCGCTCACGCAGGTTCCTGGTGTGTGCCAGGCACTCGCCTGCCGGACAAAGAGGCGGTGCCTCGAGAGGAGGTGAAGAGCCGCACGTAAGCTCCTGTGTCGTGCAGAGCTTGAGTGTCATTTCCTGCCTGGTGTTACCCTGGCACCCTGGCTTCCTCTGCCTACGTGCAAAAAAGACGCTCGCGAGAGAAATTTGACGAACGCAACAACTGCAGGTTTCCCTCGCTCTACGCGGTGGTAGTCGCAGTGGTAGATGCTTTAAAAAAACAAAGCGCGCACAAAGCGAAATCGCACGAGGAGACAGCTGTGCCTGCTGAGTAGCGTGCACAGTACACGCAGTACACACACACACAGTACGCGTGCAGTACACAAAGTACACACACCATACAGTACACATGCAGAACAAACGGTGCACACGCAGTACACACACAGTACACAAGGTACACAATATTGTGCCGCTTCCGACCGCATAGCTGCATGAAGAGTGAATTTAAACGGTAGTAAGATAGTGAGATTTGGGTAGAAATAGGTTCGTCGTATATATGGCCTGTAATCGCACAACCAGAACCTGCATAGAGTGAGGGAAGCCTGTCGTACACTTATAAAATTTTATTGGGTCTCAAGTGATGCCTTCTTTGGAAACCAGTTCGTGCCACGATGTTTTTACCCATAACCCAGCTGTGTTTTCTGTTGTGTATTCTACAGTTCGTTGTCCCTGCATGTCTTTTGTCTAAACGCTGCTTGTTCATACACCTTACTCCAGTCATGGGTGAACTCCATCCTGTACCAGCACGATGGTGTTCATCTGTACTGAAGTTCACCGGCATTGATTCATGAGACACTGCGTGTCGAAACCGGTCCAGAGTTTGCTTGTCTTGAAACAATACTGCTGGAAATTGCACTCTCAGAAGGCCGTGGAGCTGAGGGATAGTGTAACAGATACTTCTGTTTTGTATGTGGGCAAACGGACATCTGTGAAAAAGAGCTTCATAGCTCACCGAATTTCTCCAGGATAAATAAAGATTCTGGTTCTTGACATGGGAAGGAGTATCGTCCGCTTATCTATTCTGCACCGGAGTATGGAGCCTCTCTCCGGCCACCTGTCAGTCCCAGGCTTAACTTTCGCGACTAAAGCCACAATTTGTTTGTGTGGTGACAACGTGTGCTTTGTGTGAGCTGCTGTGCTGTGTGATTAAACACCTATTTAAGAACAATGTATAACCAATGTGCTATTACAAGGACATAAGCCTCATCGCAGCACATGGCATAAGCTCCATTCCTGTGAACGCCTTTGTGTGAAATGTGTTTTAAATTAATGTACTGTCAATGTTAAAAGTGGAGGCATGTTATGTTCTTATTTTTAAAATGGAAAATAGCACAATTATATTCATTCTATTTGGATGTATGAAAACTATTTTGAACTCGCCTGCATTTCTACGATCAACATCATTGCGTGGTTACAGTTGACGGCCACGTGTTTTGTTGTGTTTTATGGACGCTGAGCTTGTGGTCACGCGTTGATTTAGGGTGCCACGGTGGCGAGATGTTAACTACCTTGCCTGCTGTACATGAGGTCGTGGGTTCGATCCTGACCGATGCCTGTGTATTTGGAGTTTACGTGTCTCTCTCCCCGTGGTCACATGGATTTTTCTCTGGGTCCTCCGGTTTTCACTCCATATGCGGAATCAATAAATTTCCACGTGATTAGCCAATTCGTTGAACTCTCGTTGTGGCCAGGTCGCTTCCAAAAAGAGAGCTATACAGCTCAGTGGGCCTTACCCAGAATCCAGTGGGGATTTTTAAACGGAGGGAAAAACAACAGATAACGTGTAACAGGCCAGGATTAATGCACCCTCAAGATTAGTGAACGAAGGAGGGGAGTGTCCGGGCTAGGGGTAACGACCACGAGCAGCGTATCTAAGGGGGAGGGGGGGGGGATGAATAATGTAATCAAACAGAACATAATGGTTACCATGTGCAAGACAGGGTGGTGTAGTATCCAGAGTCCATCCCATCTCCCTTCTCCCCCATTTTTCCAGCTATTCATGCTGGGTGTCTGCCGAATTCAACCCTTCCTCCCCCCCCTCTGGCCAGATCTTCCACGGGCTGAAGAGCAGCGAGGTGAGCAAGACGTTCCGCCGGGCCATCAACAAGAAGGAGGGCATTTGTGCCATGGGTGGCCTGTCGGAGCTGTCCAGCGCAGGGACGCAGCACTCCTACTCTGGTGCGCTCCTGTCAGCGTCGGTGCTAGACAAAGATCTCCCCTGCCATGTAGCCTCCAACGGGCTGTTGGAGCGGGTGCGAGTTAGCGAGCAACCTATGATGGCCGCCACGGCGCACGAGGGAGTGGGTGGCCAGCACCACGGCCGGCTGGCGATGTTTAACACACACCGCACCACCACATCAAGTACTCATTCGAGGCTGAGTTTGACCTCGGAGACCATTTCAGATAACCGTCGCCGGTGTTGGCCGTGAAGGGGAATCGAAGTCGCCTTCGCTGGGTTCGTAGCACAGTGCGCTGATCACTGCACGACTGCTGCCCCACAAACAGTGGCCACACTGACGCTGATCACCAGCACGGCTCGCCAGCACAGGTCAAGTTTACGAGCCGCTGCTAGACGTTTCACTCTCCAACTCACTGGTTCTGAATCTGTTCGCTACGCCGGCCCCCCCCCCCCCCCCAATGCAACTCATTTTATGATCCGGTCGTGCCTTGTGTAGGTTATTTGACGTCACTTTCAAATTGCTGCGCGCTGTTTGTTATTATGGTATTTGTATTGGTAAAACCCAGGCCTCCCTTGAGTCTTCACACCCAGTAGAATTAATCAAGGAACTGAACATTTCTACACTGTAACGTAAGGACACATCCTGGAAGTGAATTTAGCCAACACCCTTTAAGGACCCTCAAGGGGCCTGTCTTACCACAGCCTCCAGCTGTGCAGCAGACTAGTTTTTTAAATATATTTATATATTTTACAAGGTAAGGGCCCACTGAGCTTTACAGTTCTTTTTCAGAAGCGACCTGGCCACAAATGATAGCTCAACGAGGTAGCTTATCATCGCTTGGAAATTATTAGCGTCAAAATACTCGAAATGCATGTTGATTCAAAATGTGGGGGAAAAAAAAAATCAGAGGACCCGGACAAAGGTCTACACAACCACTTGTAGAGAGAACACACAAACTCTAAATATACATGCGTAAGGGTCGAGATCGAACCCATGACCTCCTGCATACCAGGCGAGGTAGTTAACATCTCGCCACCAAAAGAGCTCGGCTTGGCCAAATGACAGAACGTGAAATATCAAACTCCAAGTCATTTATCATTTTGCACACTCAGTGCGGACGAGGCCAATATGTGAGCCTCGCCAAAGGTGAGATTTGAACCTCGGGTGGCCTCTCCCGCTGGCTTACACCGAGCACCTCCTCCGCCGCGACGCTGGCCGACTGCTCGTGTAACGGAGGCCAACGTGGGCACCCTGTGTAACCACGCGGCCGCCTCTTGCCGCGCGCTCACTCCGTGCGCTTGTGTGGCGGGCGTACGGTGCAGAGGAAGAGAAGTTTGCGTTTGTGAATTGGATCAACAAGGCCCTGGAGTCGGACCCGGACTGCCGGCACGTGCTGCCAACCAACCCCAACACGGAGGCGCTCTTCCAGGCCATGGGCGACGGCATCGTCCTCTGGTGAGAGCGCCGCAGCACGGCCTGCAGGTGCCGGCCACCAGCACCGCCGTCACGGCCAGTCCTTCTCGCCTGTGGCACCTGCCAGCAGCAGCAGCAGCAGCTGCAAGAACAATATGTTGTTTAACACGTAGGCTTTCGCGACCAATATTATTCACAATAAAGGTTTTTGGGTTAGATCGCGTTATTTATATTGTGACTGATGTATATGTCGATCTTGGTTGCATTTTTGGGATGATCCGGGGGTTTACTTTGGTGCTCTCCTCCCCACTTTGTGGAACTCCCTCCTGCTGGCCCCCCACTTTGTGGAACTCCCTCCTGCTGGAGATTCTCACACGATGTTGAGGGAGGGGGGCACACTGAGCGCCTGCCTCCCCCCCCCTCCTCCCGTTGGCCACCACGAGTAATAACGAATCAAACGAGGTGTAAACCAAAAAAAAAAGCATTTAATTTATGACGAACGTCGTAGCAAATCTTTGTCAAGCAAGTGATTGTATATCGGGGTACACCTCTATTATTATAATAATTATGTTGATAGCGGTGGCTCAGTCCATGTCCAGCAGAGTGAAGAGTGCCTGTCCTGCTGTGTTCTCCAGTAAGATGATCAACCACTCGGTGCCGGACACCATTGACGAGAGGACCATCAACAAGAAGAAGCTCACTCCGTTCACCATCCAGGTCCGTGTCCTTGGCGACGGGCCGTCGTGCCTCTGTCGTCAGTGCTCTGTGCTCAGTGCGAGTGCTGTGTGCTGTTTGCTGTGTGCTGTTTGCTGTGTGCTGTGTGCTGTTTGCTGTGTGCTGTTTGCTGTGTGCTGTTTGCTGTGTGCTGTTTGCTGTTTGCTGTGTGCTGTTTGCTGTGTGCTGTTTGCTGTGTGCTGTTTGCTGTGTGCTGCTGCTACATGCGGCACACTTTTTTCTATGCACTGCACACTGTCTGCTGCTTGTGCTTTGTGCTTGGTGTTAGTGCTGTGTGCTTGCTGCTTGTGCTGTATGCTAGTGCTGTGTACTATGTGCTAGTGCTGTGTACTATGTGCTAGTGCTGTGTACTATGTGCTAGTGCTGTGTACTATGTGCTAGTGCTGTATACTATGTGCTAGTGCTGTATACTATGTGCTAGTGCTGTGTACTATGTGCTAGTGCTGTGTACTCTGTGCTAGTGCTGTATACTATGTGCTAGTGCTGTGTACTCTGTGCTAGTGCTGTATACTATGTGCTAGTGCTGTGTACTATGTGCTAGTGCTGTGTACTATGTGCTAGTGCTGTGTACTATGTGCTAGTGCTGTGTACTCTGCTAGTGCTGTGTACTATGTGCTAGTGCTGTATACTATGTGCTAGTGCTGTGTACTCTGTGCTAGTGCTGTATACTATGTGCTAGTGCTGTGTACTATGTGCTAGTGCTGTGTACTATGTGCTAGTGCTGTATACTATGTGCTAGTGCTGTGTACTCTGTGCTAGTGCTGTGTACTATGTGCTAGTGCTGTGTACTATGTGCTAGTGCTGTGTACTCTGCTAGTGCTGTGTACTATGTGCTAGTGCTGTGTACTATGTGCTAGTGCTGTGTACTATGTGCTAGTGCTGTGTACTAGTGCTGTGTGTTATGTGCCATGTGCTAGTGCTGTGTGCTATGTGCCATGTGCTAGTGCTGTGTGCTATGTGCCATGTGCTAGTGCTGTGTGCTATGTGCTTGGTGCTAGTGCTGCATGCTAGTACTGTGTCCTTGTGCTGAGCGCCATGTACTATGTGATTGGTGCTGTGTGCTGTGTGCTGGTGCTAAGTACTGTGTGCTGGTGCTGTGTGCTCGTGCTGTGTGCTATGTGCCGTGTGCTATGTGCTGGTGCTGCGTGCTATGTGCTGGTGCTGTGTGCTATGTGCCGTGTGCTGTGCGCTGACCGGGAGTCTCTGCGCTGCTGACCGCCGCTCGCCTCGCCCGCAGGAGAACCTGAACCTGGCGCTGAACTCGGCATCGGCGATCGGCTGCCACGTGGTGAACATCGGCGCGGAGGATCTGCGCGAGGGCAAGCCCCACCTGGTGCTGGGCCTGCTGTGGCAGATCATCAAGATCGGCCTCTTCGCAGACATCGAGCTCACGCGCAACGAGGGTGAGCCACCTCGCTCAGCCACTCACCTCCACTCACCACTGTCACTCACCACCACTCACTCACGACTCACTCATCCCTCTCACTCACGCATAATGAGGGTGAGCCACCTCGCTCACCCACTCTCTCACCCACTCTCTCACTCACCACTCTCACTCACCACCACTCACAACTCTCACTCACCACCACTCACTCATCGCTCTCACTCACGCATAATGAGGGTGAGCCACCTCGCTCACCCACTCACTGCCACTCACCACTCTCACTTTCCACTCTCACCCCTCTCAAGCACAGCGAGGGTGAGCCACCTCACTCACCCACTCTCTCACCCACTCTCTCACTCACCACTCTCACTCACCCACAACGAGGGTGAGCCACTTGGCTCTACCACTCTCCACTCACTCACAGCGACCCACCCACCCCATTCACTCACCCACCCCACTCGGTCACCCCTCTCACTCACCTTCCCACTCACCCCCAACGGGGGTGAGCCGCCTTGCTCACCTCTCCCACTTGCCACTCCCACTCAACAGCCACTCACGCACCCCACTCACTCACTCACCCCTTACACCCGCCCTCTCGCCCGCCTCTCGTGCCTAACTCACCCACCCCTCTCTCGCCTGTATCAGCCTTAAATGAGTACTGGGCGTGGTGTGTAAACGTCACCACGTGAAAGGCAATGGCAGCCGAGTTCGTTCCCGTCCACAGCGCCGCCTCGTGCGCCGTGCCGATCCTGATAGGTTCTAGATTTGAAGCTTTCGTGACTGCAAGGATCCATACTCTTTGGTTCTATTCGGTAAAGTCACGTAGGTAAAAAAATAAAACAACAAAAATCACGTCGTTTCGGCCACAACACCTACGTGACTTTACCGAATAGAACCAAAGAGTATGGATCCTGATAGGTGCTCGCCGACATCACTTGCCCCAAGCCTCGCTGTGTGGGCTACACAGGGGCGGAGGGCGCTGAATTTTTGAGCATTTGCCCACCGACGCGTGTCACGCAGCCCTCATCGCTCTGCTGCGTGACGGCGAGAGCCTGGAGGAGCTGATGAAGCTCTCCCCCGAGGAGCTGCTCCTCCGCTGGGTCAACCACCACCTGGAGAATGCCGGCTGGAACAAGATCTCCAACTTCTCCTCGGACATCAAGGTGAGCGTTGGTGCTTGGGTCAGGGGCGGCGGCGCCTCTCTTGGCGCTCTCGCACGGGGCCGCTACCGTCGCCCCGCCGTTAGCCCCTCCTCTGCCCCCCAATTCACGCCGAACGGCAAGGTGTTCTGGGCGCCGCCGCGGTGGGCGAGGCGTTGGCTACCTCGCCTGGTGTGCAGGAGGAGGTCGTGGGTTCCATTCCGACCCTGACGTCTGTTGTACATTTGGAGTTTGCGTGTCTCGCTTCCCATGGCCGCGTGGATTTTCGGTTTTAGCCTCCACATTTAGAAACATGCGTTGAGAGTATTTGGCTGCTATAAATTTCCATAAAATAAGCCACTCCCTTGAGCTATCAATTGTGGCCAGGTCACTTCGGAAAAAGAGCTATGTAGCTCGGTGGGCCTTATCTGGTAAAATAAAAACAGTTTTAGTATATATATTTTTAGGGTTGTATTCTCTTGCCGGTCACGTTTCCAAAGTCTGCTGCGTGTATTCTTCTACTTCCTTTACGGCCGATGTCGATGCACAGCAACAACCGCACTGTCCCATTCAGGTGGTCTCAAGCCAGATAGTCGTGTGAGGAACAGCGGCGTGTATTACTGTCATATCCCCTTCGTATTCATGCATTTGGCATTGCATCGTTATATGTTGTTCGGTCTGTTCCGGATGACCCCAGTCAAGCGCCAGAGAGTTTTTAATTTTCCGTTTGTGCATCGGGTATCCACATTTGTCGTGGTTTGTGCGAACGCGGTTTAGAGGTGGACCATGAGCTTCGTGGAATTTTAAAACCAGGGATCTTCTGCGTTGGGTCTTTTACGAGGTGTATGTGAGTTCTTTTGAACTCGACTCAGCTCTCCAAGATTCATCGGGGGGGTTGATTTCGCATTGTTGCGGGTGAAGCGCACGGGTCCAAGAGGGGCTTGCGTGACTTCAAGCGATGACGAGGGGCGTTATTGAGGTCCCGATGTCATATTGAACGCGTATCGAGTGGCTGGATAACATTGTGCTCGGTGCTTCTTGTCACGAAGGCCCACAGGGCTCCCGTGCGCCCTCCGCTGCCGCCCTGTGAACTCGGTGGGCAGTTCCCAAAGGGATAACGTCCGCTCGCTGCACAGCGTCAAATATTTATAGGGTGTAAGCCGTGCGCGTGTGTGTGTGTGCGTTAGCCACGTCTTTTATGGCCAGTTAGTTTTTTTTCAATTTGCCAGTTAATGCTGCGAAAATGCAACACAAATGTTTTAGCCTTGGACGAACCGACAAAATGTCGTATTGTTTGGTGATGCTGCTGCTGCTGCTGCTGCGATGGCAGTGGTGCGCGAGCACAGTTAACAGCAACAACAAGAACAACAACTCAACATACTCGTCAACAACACATCAACATTACTGTGTGGCCTTAAAAGAAAATCATCTATAATTGGTGACGTTTTGGGCAACGGCCCTTCACGGGAAAAAAAAAAAACGGCAGGGCCGTGAATAAAGGCCGTTGATGATTATGTACTTTTTTTTTTCTTTTAAGGCCCACAACGATGTTGATGAATGTGTTGAGATAAAAAAAAAACTACACGATAAACTGGTCGTGCAAAGTGAACACGCCATAAAATGAACGCCATTCATTCGCCTGTCACTTAAACAGCTGGGAACCAACCCTGCGCGGGGTGGGGGGGGGGGGGAAGAGGCGCTCGCTGGCTCACGGAGCGCTCGCTGACTCACGGCGAGCTCTCGGAGCGCTCGCTGGCTCTCGGAGCGCTCGCTGGCTCACAGAGTCCTCGCTGACTCACGGCGAGCTCTCGGAGCGCTCGCTGGCTCTCGGAGCGCTCGCTGGCTCTCGGAGCGCTCGCTGGCTCACGGAGCGCTCGCTGACTCACGGAGCGCTCGCTGGCTCACGGAGCTTTCGCTGACTCTCGGAGCGCTTGCTGGCTCTCTGAGCGCTCTCTGAGCGCTCGCTGGCTCTGAGCGCTCGCTGACTCTTGGAGCGCTCGCTGACTCACTGAGTGCTCGCTGACTCTCTGAGTGCTCGCTGACTCTCGGAGCGCTCGCTGACTCTCTGAGTGCTCGCTGGCTCTCTGAGTGCTCGCTGACTCTCTGAGCGCTCGCTGACTCTCTGAGCGCTCGCTGACTCTCTGAGTGCTCGCTGGCTCTCTGAGTGCTCGCTGACTCTCGGAGCGCTCGCTGACTCTCTGAGTGCTCGCTGACTCTCGGAGCGCTCGCTGACTCTCTGAGTGCTCGCTGACTCTCGGAGCGCTCGCTGACTCTCTGAGTGCTCGCTGGCTCTCTGAGTGCTCGCTGGCTCTCTGAGTGCTCGCTGACTCTCTGAGTGCTCGCTGACTCTCTGAGCACTCGCTGGCTCTGAGCGCTCGCTGACTCTCTGAGCGCTCGCTGACTCTCTGAGCGCTCGCTGGCTCTGAGCGCTCACTGACTCTCTGAGCGCTCGCTGGCTCTCTGAGTGCTCGCTGACTCTCTGAGCGCTCGCTGACTCTGAGTGCTCGCTGACTCTCTGAGTGCTCGCTGACTCTCGGAGCGCTCGCTGGCTCTCTGAGTGCTCGCTGACTCTCTGAGTGCTCGCTGACTCTCTGAGTGCTCGCTGACTCTCTGAGTGCTCACTGACTCTCTGAGTGCTCGCTGACTCTCTGAGTGCTCGCTGATTCACTGAGTGCTCGCTGACTCACTGAGTGCTCGCTGACTCTCGGAGCGCTCGCTGGCTCTCGCCGCGTGCGTGCCCACTCTTGTTTACCCCGTGTGTGCCCGGGGGCCTTTCTGTGCTCACCTCTTCTCCAATGTCCCTCTGCTGCTTTCCCGGGGGACTCTGCCTGGCTCCGAATGCCCAGACGGTGGCTGACTTTTGCAACGCCATCAAGGTACGGCGTGCCGGCCCTGTCGACGGCCGCCCTCCTCCCCCCTGCGTGCGTTTCGCCGTGCCCCCACCCCCCCCTCAACGTATCGGAATATCGGGCAAACGCCGAGCGTGCATTTTTTCACCCAGAAGAACGTTCTCTCAAGCTGCGCTTGTGTGAACGCTCTCTCGCGTATGGCCTTAACAGGCTTTTGGGACAAGTGCTGTTTCGAGTAGGACCTATGAAGGTTGGCATGGTGCACAAGATGGGTGGGTGGCCAGCGCAGCACCACGCCCGGCCACCTTTGTCGCCCTCGTGGCGATGTTTACACACCGCGCCAAGTACACATTAGAGGCCGAGTTGACCTCCGGGAGGCCCGGGACCGGTTCAGATAATCGTTACTGGTGTTGGCCATGAACGGGAATTGGACTCGGGTCGGCAGGTTCGAAGCGCAGCGTAGCGCTGACCGCTACACTGCCGTTCCCATACACACACACATCCCCACACACACATCCCCACGCACACATCCCCACGCACACATCCCCACGCACACATCCCCACGCACACATCCCCACGCACACATCCCCACGCACACATCGCCACACACACATCGCCACACACACATCCCCACACACACATCCCCACACACACATCCCCACACACACATCCCCACACACACATCGCCACACACACATCCCCACACACACATCCCCACACACACATCCCCACACACACATCCCCACACACACATTCCCACACACACATCCCCACACACGCGCACACATATACACCATCAGACAGAGGCAGCCTATTCAGGGAAACATTGATTAATTATTGATGTCTCGTCAGCCATGCTATCTCTTCAGGAGCGGGTGACAGACATGAATCACTGCTCATCTGTCTTGACACTACTGCACCCTCAGTGTTATCAATCCATTCCTGCCCAAGTCATCTCTCGCCTCCTATTTCCTTGCTGTTACGTTTTCCTTTAAATTGGTAAGCGGGCAGAAAATGTTCAACAAATATATACTTCTGTGCACCCACAACATGAATATATACAGTACCCACACGACGTACAAATACACAAAGACAAAGAACCCCATATATATAACTTTAACAGACTATTAGGGCAAATAACACACACGTGCACATTTTGTACACGGCATACACGGCATGCGTACATGTTATAGACAGCATACACAGCATGTGCACACACCGTGTACACTTGTACATGTACGTACAACACACACCGTATAAAACACAACGCCACGTGCAGACACGCACTTTGTAAACGCAAACACACATGCTGTGTACGCACTGCACTAAGTGGTCACCAATTCCTTCACTGTGCTCGCAACCGGTGGGGATTTGCACGTGTGTGTGTGTGCCATTATGTAACCGGACGGATTCAAATTTTTAGGTGACTCAACACCGCTTGACCTCTCGACCCCTTGACCCCCAGGACTCGCGGGCGTACTTCCACCTGCTCAACCAGATTGCGCCGAAGGGGGACAAGGAGGGTCAGCCGCGAGTGGATATCGACTTCTCTGGGTTCAATGTGAGCCCCCTCCCTGCCTCCATCTCTCCCCCTTCCTCTCCCTTCATCCCAGCACCTCGTGTCACCTCGGACTTTACATTTGTGGAGAGCACTTCGCTCCTCGCGCATTGTTTTGCCCAGGAAAGGTTGGTCACGTCCATTGGCCGGAGAAACGATTCGTATACGATTCATAAATGTTTTATGGGTCAGATCGCCGTCTAAGTAAAATGTGTGCCATGCGCCCTTCTCCACCCGACATGGCCAATGTAATAAAGTTGCCACGTGTTGCATCTGACTGTGCAGCCTCCTCCGCTGCCATTGCCGCATTCACCGCCTGACGAAGCTCAGCGCGGTTTGAGTGAAACGCCACCGAAAGTGCGTTGATGTTGAATTCAGCTGCGAAAAGCCCTTAGGCCACTGCCGCCGAGGAGTGCTCTCGGTCGGAATTTTACCAATGCATTACCGCCTGTTAATAATAAATACCCTTGCAGAACGTGCCAGTCCTGCCCGGGTAGTGGAGGGTTAGCGACAAGCTTTTTGGCACAACATTTAATTTACGTCCTTATGTTGAACTTCTTTTCACACCGTACGTAGTCGTCAGCTATGATGATCGGAGGTGCGGGGGAAGGACAACAAACTGAACAAATGAAAGTATTTAAAACTGCCACGTGTCCTAACTCAGGAATTAAAATGGAATCATTGTACTGGCGTTGAAGAACCTATGTTTTAAGTTACTGTCTCACATTGTCCTCCTTACACACCTTCTTTGGATGCAATGATGTGGCCTATGAATCCCTCTAACAACGTTCAGCCTCCCTTAATGGACTGGTTTACTTTCTCGTTTTAACACACGTGTTATGTTACAGACATCGACTCTCTTTTCTCTCTCTCTCTCTCTGTCCTTGCCGTTTCATTTCGTTTAATTACATTGCTTCAAGCTCAGTGGGAAACTATTCGATGGGGGAAAAAAATAATTAAATACATTTCCCGTTGGCATTGCATGCACAGCATGATGCGGTGGTGGTCGAGGCTACACCCCTGTGTGTCAGGCGTGGCACGGTGATGTTCGAGGGTACACCCTGTGTGTCAGGCGTGGCTCGGTGATGTTCGAGGGTACACCCTGAGTGTCAGGCGTGGCACGGGATAGAGTGTTTCCCCCTTACATGTTTTAGGTTTTCTGTGGGCAATCTGGTTTCCTCTGACATGTATAAACACTCATGCATTGGCTGAAAACATCTTAATGTCGAGAGGACTGCAGAGCTTGGACAATTGTTGTTTTTGAAAGCAATTGAATACTGTGCGTTACAAGTCGACATAATAATTATTAGTATCAGCAGTTTAAATTCTCCCCTCTCCTAAACTAGATTTGTAATTTTGATTTAAAGCTTTCGTGACTGCAGGGATTCATATTCTTGTTTCTTTCGGTAAAGTCACGTAGAAAGGAAACAATAAAATAAAAAAAATATAAAACAAAACAATTATCACAACGTTTTGACTGCAACACAAGCAATCATCATCAGGTGTGAAAACCACAGCAAGAAAATATGAAAAAAGTGGCGTTTTTTTAACGTTAGCACCACGGAGAGCGATTTGGTAGTTATTCAGATGGACAAGTCCATCTATGACCAGGAACACATAGCCAGTGAACTCAAGCACGTACACCAAGCTCTTAAGGCTAATGGTTACTCCGACTACACAATCCGCAAAGCTATCACTCCAACCATGAAGAAGGACCCTCTTGAGGAGCCATTCAAAACCATCACTTTACCCTACATTGCGGGGATCACAAAAAAGATCTCCAAATTCTTGAATAAACACAAGATCCAGGTCCGATTCAACACATTACATAAAATACGTGATCTGGTTCCGTCTATAAAATATGTGATTCCGGACATACAGTACCCTGGCGTCTGCAAACTAAGTTGTCTCTGTGGTAGTAGTTACATTGGAGAAACCAAACGACATGTCTCGGACTGCATCCGTGAACACAAAGCAGACCTAAAACACGGTAGGACCAACACCTCGGCCGTGGCAGATCATTGTTATAATTCAGTAGGCTCACATGACATTGACTTCTCCAAGACAGAGGTTCTCTACAAGCCATCTGGCTACCATGAGAGATTCGTTCATGAGGCTATCCACATATACAAACACAGAGACAATTTCAACCGAGAAGATGGATTCTGGCTTAGCAATCATTGGAAGGATTTGATCAACTATTTCGAGTCTTAATTGATTGTTCATGCTTACGGTGGCTTTCAGACCACATCCATTATTTTCGTCTCCCCCCTCCTCTTTTCCGAACATAGATGGACTCGTCCATCTGAACAAACTATCAAATCTCTCTCCGTGGTGCTAACGTTAAAAATAACCGCCACTTTTTTCAAATTTTCTTGCTGTGGTTTTCAAACCTGATGATGATTGCTTGTGTTGCAGTCGAAATGTCGTGAGAATTGTATTGTTTTATATTTTTATTGTTTCCCTTCTACGTGACTTTACCGAAAGAATCAAGAATATAAAGGAACTTTTGTTCAACCACCGGTGACCAGGCTGAGACCTCTGTGAATATCCCAGTGCCTCTTGCTGCACTGTTATGATACCACCAATGTATCATATCGAATGTCCTCGAGTGATATTGAATAATGAATCTTCATGTGCCAGCGTTTAGAAAGACACGTTAAGAGGATTTTGCTGTTATAAATTTACACATGATAAGCCCCACATCATTGGGCTATGATTGGTGGCCAGGTCGCTTCTGAGAAAGAGCAACACAGCCTTAGTGGGCCTTACCTTGTAAAGTAAAACATTGTTTAGTTTATCGCCCCAGAAATCCTAACTCCCAGAATTACCCTCAATTAAATGGGGGTCGACTTGGCCAAGAGTTCCCCCTGGTGTTGGTGGAGTGAACGCCGCCCCACAAGGCGGCGCCACACGGAGGTGGCAGTACGGTGGTCGAAGTCATTCCCAGCAGAAACTGTGGCATGCCGTAGCAACGTGCAATTTCTACCTCTAGGCTATTAGAGAACCAACAGACATAGGTTGATTGAGCCCCTTTCCTTCGGTGAGATTAATTGACGGAACTGTCTCTCTTTGAGATGGTCCGTTACCTTTGCGGCTTCTCACATCCCTGAGCGAGAGAGCTCTTGCAGTATCTCCGTTATCCCTCGCCCGGTTAGTTCGGTTGACAGTAACGTGTGCTAAAAGGGTCCCACCCAAGAAGGCAGTGTTGATGAAAACCGGGATGCACCCAGTCTGTTTTCGGGCAGTCGTTTACCGGCAGTCGTAAAGTGCGTGTGGTTTCCGTGACACAAATTTCCCTCTGTACAGAGCGGCATCTCTGTATGCTCCGTATAAGCAATCGCCCTGAGCAGCGATGCTCCGTTAAGGCTTGCGAATGAGGGTTTTCCCCGCACCCGTCTCGCTGTCGAGACAGATCTCTGACACCCTGTCATCCTTGCACACAAGCACTCACTCGGAGCGGCTAAACGCTTGATTACGGGTGCCCAAGACTTAGCCGGGTGATATCACCGCTGTGACCGCTCGCACCCTGCGCCGCGCTCGTCTCTTGCGACCCCCACCGCAGGACAAGGATGAGCTTCGCCGCGCCGAGAGCATGCTGGTGCAGGCCGACAAGCTCGGCTGCCGGCAGTTCGTCACGCCGGCCGACGTGGTGAGCGGAAACCCCAAGCTGAACCTGGCCTTCGTGGCGAACCTCTTCAACAAGTACCCGGCCCTGCACAAGCCGGCCAACCAGGACATCGACTGGGGCCTGCTGGAAGGTGCACGCTGCGGATTGCTGCCGGGGCCTGCCAGGCTGCGCCGGCGGGGACAGTAGCCAGCCACCGATGACACTCAGCACGGGAACATGCTGAGATCATTGTCTGTGTTCCTCAAATTCCAGGGTTTACACCCACACCATGAGCGGTGCGGGTTTAGTGAGACAAGGCAATTTATTTCCTGGGTCACCCGGATACCTAGCACAACATGATGATGACAGTAGTGATGGTGATGCTGACAGTGATGATAACAGTAATGCTGATGATGACAGTGGTGATGGTGATGCTGACAGTGGTGATGGTGATAACGACAGTGATAATGATATTGATGATGAACTTGGTGATGATGACGATGCACATGACGATGTTAATAATGACGATGATCTTTGTGGTGATGACAGGTGAGAGCCGGGAGGAGCGGACGTTCAGGAATTGGATGAATTCCCTGGGTGTGAACCCCTTTGTCAATCACCTGTACAGGTAGGTAGGTCGGCACTGAGATGCCCCGCTCGTGGCAGTCAAGCCCCCTCCCACGTGGAACTATCCTCACCTTCACACACACACACACATACGGACACGTTGCCCCGAGCCTGCACCCACACACATGCAGCAGAAGTCCAATCGTCCACGTTGAAGTGGGGAGACCGGATTGAGCAGAATTTTTTTCCGCTGGAGCAGTGTGCCATGACTTATGGGAGGGATTAGCCGCGTGATTCCATTAGTCCAGGATACATTTACGGATTACGAGCGCTCGAGTTTTTCTAAGACACAAATGGTGCAAATCTGCCAAGATAGGTCGACGTTTAATGGGTTTGGCATTTTTCTTGGGCTTCATATCCGAGTCAACATAAAAAGCCAAAACCCCATTTTCTATACTCAAAAAATGACATTGCCACACCTCGTGTGCAATGTAAACAAATGCAAAATAACATAAATTACAGTCTCACCTCCACATTTTCCCTGCAGCTCTACTCCTGCGGCCCTGCTCTTGCAGCTTTGCCTTCAGCCTTCACGCTACGGATCGCGATTTGCGTGCCGTAAATCATGGCAAACGGCCGCGCACCGTCAATAAAAATCCGCAAATAACATTGATTCGTGAATTATTGGAGCGCTGTTATTGCAATTCTGCTGCTGTTTGCTGATGTTTAATAACTTGTTTCCCCATAACCTGCACACGTGCACATATTTACATGCTACCATAGTCGGCACATGCACGTACGCGTGTACATATTCACACACGTACGTTCCAGCCGCAACAGGTGTCCCCATTGTGGTTGGGGTGAGTGAGTTCACGTTTCCAGCGTAGTTTGTGTCACCAGGTGGGAACTCAGAGACCAGGATGCGTCTCGTTTGCGTGTGACCAGGAAGGATGTTGACCACCCTTGATGTAGCACGGTGGCAAGATGTTAACTACCTCGCCTGGTATACAGGAGGTCGTGGGTTTGATCCTAACCCCCAACACCTGTATATTTGGAGTTTGCGTGTCTCTCTCCTCCCTGTGGTCACGTGGATTTTTCTCCGAATCCTTCGTTTTTTTCCCTCCACATTAGAATCAACGTCACTCGTTTAGAGTATTTGTCCGCTATACATTTCCACGTGATAAGCCAATTATCTGCGTTATCATTTGTGATAGCCAGGTCGCTCCCGAATAAGAGCTCCATGACTCAATGGGCCTTACCTGGTAAAATACAAAATTCTAGTTTTAGTTTAGATGCAAGAAAGTGATAAAATCATCGTCACTGAATCCTACCTCGCAGCATCATAATTTTAGGTAAGTTCATGAATAAACTATTATTTAATCGTTAAATATTTAGTTAACGGTGCGTGCGTATGTCTGTGCGTCTCCTCCTCCTCCTCGTGCAGCGACCTCGTCGATGCCCTCGTGATCATCCAGCTGTTCGAGAAAATCAAAACGCGAGTGGACTGGAACAAAGTGAACAAGCCTCCGTACCCCAAGCTGGGCGCCAACATGAAGAAGGTGAAGCGACACGCGCGTGAGATGGCGGGCGGGCGGGCGGGCGGGCGGGCGGGATGGGCGGTACGGTTACTCGGCGTAGGTCACGTTCCAGCCGCCCCCCCTCACCTCCCCCAGCTGTTCCCTGCATCGTTCCGATTCGCGGTTGCGATTCTGTTCGAGGATCGTTCGGCCTTCGGCTCGTTTTGTCTCCTTGTCACTTCTATCCCGCTGGCACAGTTGTGCGCGATCTCCCATCGTTAGCCTCGACGTGACGTCGCCCTGTCATTTGTAGATCGCGCAGAAATAATTTACACGTAATCCGATCGCACACGCGCAGTTCGACGCGTGCATTCTCGGCTCGTGCGATTAAGCCGATGATGGACGGGACGTTTCGTTGACGCGGCCAAGAGGTGCTCTGCACGTCGGTGGGGGGGGGGGGGGGGGGGGGGATCGTGCTCCAGGAAGCACGGAATCGGTGCTGGGAGCGAGAACGGCACTGTGCCACTGAGAACCACAGCGCCCTCGCCCGCCGGCGGTGTTCGTGGTGGCGATGACGATGTATGGAGGGGGCAGCACTCGTAGCGAATGGTGTGTGGCGAGGGAGGTGCGTGTGTGTTAGGGGGAGGGAGGGAGCTGTGTGGTGTGGGAGCCGTGCGGAGCCCCGGACTGTGTGGTATGGGAGCCGTGCGGCATCCAAGCTGCGTGTGGATGAGCATTGTGCTTTGGTGACGCGGTGTGGCGCTGCCTTCCCAGCTGGAGAACTGCAACTACGCCGTGGAGCTGGGCAAGACGACCAAGTTCTCCCTGGTGGGGATCGGCGGCCAGGACCTTAACGACGGCAACCCGACGCTCACGCTGGCGCTCGTGTGGCAGCTCATGCGCAAGTGAGTGCCGCCCCTTCCTGCGCCACCACTGTCCACGGGGCCCGGCGCTAGGAATCGCGGCCGTTGCCGGTCGTCACCTTGCCTGGTATGCAGTAGGTCTTGGGGTCGATCCCGATGTTGACGATGCCTGCCGTATATTTGGAGTTTGCGTGCCTCTCTCCCCGTGGTGGTCGCGTGGATTTTTTTCCCGGGTCCTTCGATTTTCCTCTCCGTATTTAGGATCAACACGCATGTGTAGAGTATTTGACTACTGATATAAATTTCCACGTGATAAGCCACTTTGTTGAGCTATCATTTGTGGCCAGGCCACTTCTTAAAAAGAGCTGTACAGCTCAGTGGGCCTTACCTGGTAAAAATAAAAAAAACTTATTTTACCAGGTGAAGCTTTTTCACTGAACTATGGGGTCTTTTTCAGAGGCGACCTGGCCACACATGGTAGCTCATCACAGTGGCTGATATCATCATCATCATCACACGTGGGAATTTATAGTCATAGACAATTTATCTAAATGCCGCGTGTTGTTTGTAAATGTAGAGGGGGGCAGAACCCGGAGAACAATCCACGCGGGCTCCAAATATATAACCGGCATTGTCAGGGTCTGGGATCGAACCTACGCACTCCTGCGTAGCAGGCAAGACAGATAACATCTTGCCAACGCAGTACCCCATTGAACTCTGTAAAGGTTGATTCTTAATTAATGTTTGAGTTAGGCCACTTAATGTTCTGACCAAATATATAACGTAAATAGGTAGACAGTACGTCTCCTTTAGCTATCCATTGACCCCGCACTGCCTTCTGGGAGTGTGTAACGTCAGTAGCTTTCATTCAAGACAAGCAAAACTCTGGACCGGTTTCGACACAGTGTCTCATCAACAGAGTCCGGTTTTCTTGAATCAATGATGGTGACGAATATGTGGAGACCCATTGCCTGCTGATTTTTTTTGTTATTTTTTTTTCCCCACAACAAAACGATTATTTTGAATTGGGGGACCACATTCATGTCGTGAAACCCTTTGCCACCAAATGGAGCCCAAACCCCAAAGCGAAACCACTATATTCTTCCTGAGCCCGACTCTTGGAATGCGATGCGGGGCACCGTCAGCTGACCTCAACGCACGCCACGGCTGATGCGGAAACGATTACTGTGTGTGCTCGCAGGTACACGATTCAAGTCCTGGAGGACCTGGGTGAGGGAGAGAAGGTAAACGATGAGATCATCGTGAACTGGGTGAACCACACGCTTCGCGACGCCGGGAAGAGCTCCTCCATCGCCAGCTTCAAGGTGCCGCCCACGGCTCTCTCGACCGCCTCTCATCCTTTCAACCTTTTGACCTCGATCTCTTGATCTCTTGGCCTCCCTTCAGACCGGACCTCGCACGCATCTTTCACTGAGAGTCCACGACCAGTTGTGACACACGGTCATGGGGAGCCGTGTCTGCTTGTGTGTGTGTGTACGTTCGGTGGCTGTGGTGTGGAGAGAATACTGGTCCAGCGGTTAGTGCAGCTCTTTGCTAATCCGGTGACCCGAATTCGATTCCCACTCACGGCCAACATCACGTGATATCTGAACTGATCCTGGGCTCTCCCCTTGGTCGACTCGGCCTTAAATGAGTACCTCGTGCAGCGTGTAAACATCGGCACTGGGGAAGCAAAGGTGGCCAGGCGTGGTGTTGGCCAAAATGAATCGAGCGGTGCAGGCACCTAGGAGGGGGAAGACGTGTGTGGACAGGGACACGTGAACACGACGTGCGAGCGCCTCTCGTTACGAGGCACGACGTGCGTGGCTCCGTGGGCCACGAGAGTTTACGAGGTCTCGACAGTTGCAACGCTCGGCTTCACAGCGACCGTTGTGCCACCGCTGCCGCTACTGCTGCTGCTATGCGCACCGCTCTGCTGGCCTCGGCGAGCTCTGTAAGTGGTTCGCTGTTCCCTGCGGCAGGACAAGAACATCAGCTCCAGCCAGCCCGTGCTGGACCTCATCGACGCCATCCAGCCGGGCTCCATCCGCTACGACCTCGTCAAGGAGGAGCCCTTGACCGACGACGACCGGCTCGACAATGCAAAGTGAGCCTCCCAAAGACAAAGACTGCCCCCCCCCCCCCCCTCGTATAGCCTTAACAGACCGTTGGGGCAAGTGCTGTTAGCGAGCACCTATGAAGTCCGGCACAGCGCACGAGGGGATGGATAGCCAGTACAACGCCCGGGCCGCCTTTGTCTCCCCAGTGACGATGTTTACACACCGCACCGGGTACTCGTATGAGGCCGAGTCGACCCAGGGGAGGCCCAGGAGTGGTTCAGATAATCGTCACCGGTGTTGGCCATGAGCGGGAATCGAACTTGGGTCGCCAGGTTCGTAGCGCAGCCTAGCGCGAACCGCTAAACCACCGCTCCCCCGCCCATTCCCCCCCTCCAAGCCCCCCCCCACCACCGCTGGTGAGCCTGTGGCGCTTTGCCACCGACACGGTCGCACTGTCAGCGTCTCCATTGTGGAAGCAGCCCCCCCCACCCTCCACCCCAGTCCTCTCTGAGCTGCGTGGTTACGCTGCGGTGGTTACGCTGTGCGTGGTTACGCTGAAATTAAACTCTTGAAATTTTTCCAGGTAAGGCCCATTGAGCGATGTAACTCTTTTTCAGAATCGACCTGGCCACGAGTGATAGCTCAACGCAGTGGCTTATCACGTAGATATTTATGGCAGCCAAAAACTCGTGTTTCTAAATGTGGAGAGAGACACGCAAACTCCACATATGCAGGCGTGAGGGTCAGCATCAAAGCCACGACCTCCTGTATACCAGGCGAGGTAGTTGACATCTCGCCACCGTGGCGAATGCTGCGAAAATCAATTTCCGTGGGCTGTGCCAGGTGAAGGGGCTACAGCAAAAATGTGGGACACCACCTGTTCCGTCTCTGTGGGATAGAGTGTTTCCCCCTCGCACACATGGGTTTTCTCCAGGTGCTCCGGTTTCTTCCCACATGTATGTGGACGCTCATTAATTGGCCGATAGCACCTTGATATTTAGAGGACGGCAGAGCTTGGGCAATTGTTGGTAACGCCGGCTTGCCGGCTGGCTGCCGTTTTCCCGCTTGTCTGCAGTTCCTCCTCTACGGGAGCGAGAAGCGAATACTTTGCAGCACGCTACAAGTTGTTGACCTGTCGTAGTCTCAGTGCTGTGCGAGCGTGCACACTTTGCTCGGAACCTCCGGGGCACAAGTCCAGTCCCGGACGGGGGTCGGCTCGGCGCGTCGCCTCCGCAGGGGTCGATAAGACAGCGGAGTTACTGCCTTGCGCTCAGTCAGCAGAGTTTGTCTTGTGGAGTGCCCGGCCCCTGTCATGGGAACGTGGAAGTTCTAACTGCAACGGTGGGGGGGGTGGGGCACGCGCGTGACTCGCCCGGCAGGTACGCCATCTCGATGGCGCGCAAGATTGGCGCGCGCGTCTACGCGCTGCCCGACGACCTCGTGGAGGTGAAGCCCAAGATGGTGATGACCATGTTCGCCTGCCTCATGGGGCGCGGCATGAAGAAGGTGTGATGCGCCGCAACACCGCAACTGCTGCGCCAGGCCTACGCACATGCACCCACGCGCACACACGCACCGCTGCAGCAACCAACGATACAACCGCAACCTGCACCGCACGCAGGCGGCGCAGGCGAACGCGAGAACCACAGCGCACCACAGCGCACGTTGCGTGCCAACGGCATGTCCTCCGCACGCTCCCCGCAATGCTTCACAGCTCGCTACGTCGCGCACGCTGCACGCTCCTCCTGCCACACGCCGTGGCATGGTAAATGCCTCCCTTACCAGTGGTGGCCCATGCCGCACTCGGGCACCGCAGTCGCCAGAGCCGCTCGCAGCTCGTGGAACACCGTGGCACGCACCGTGGAACACCGCGGCACGCACAGTGGCGCACTGGTACAGTGGCAGCCTTGCCACATCATGGCACACCGTGGCGTGATGTGGCAATGTCGTGGTCCACCGTGGCACGCATCTTGCCACGCATCTTGCCATGCTGCGTCACAGCAATGCACGCGGCACGCTTGCCAATCTACTGCAGATCTCGCACCACAGTGGCGCACAAGCATGTAAAACACACACACGTCACACACGCATCGTACACAATCCACACCCGACACAAAGATACATTGCACGGGCACAGTTCACGCACGTGCACATGCAAACTCATCATGTACGCACACACTTGGCACACTTCCACTGCACTCGCTATCGCAGGACACGCGCAGACACCACTCCCGCGGACATCGCTTCCGCAGACATCACGCACATCACTCGCACGCGCACCACCGCGGTCACAGTACGTTGAGGAGGCGTCCTTGGTCCCCTGTGGGGCAGCCGCAGCCTGGGCGGCCAGGCGCACTGGGGGAGGGTCGGAGTTGGGTCGGAACACTTACTGGGGAGCATTCCCCTCATCGTAGAACAGCAACATTCAGAAACGTGCTTTGCAAGCTTCCCCCAGCGGATTAACGTGTACAATACGACGAGCGGAGAAGAGTCGACACTTTTCCCAGCCCCGGGAGTTCCGTGGACCGGCCCGTCGGTCGGCTTGTTACGTGTTTTTTTTTTCTGCATTTTATGGCAATGTTTATACGTAACCACCCTGGTAAATAATTACAATCAACGACGCGGAGAGAGGAAAGGTGTCGTGAAAATCGGTTGTAAAAGTGGAAATCCTGGGAATGAAATTGCGTCGAGAATTTTGATGTTTGGGGAGGTATGACCCGTGCGTCCTATCATGACCTATGCAAGGTAACGAAAAATAAAGTGAGTTTGAATGAAATTGCGACAATTGGGTTTTATGCTGCAGAAATTTACACCAAAGGCGAAAACGACGCTCAGGCGTACGAATTTGTGAATGTGACGACGCGCGACTACGTATTGTCTGTATGTGCAAGGACACGGTACGAGTGAAGCGTGTTAACGTGGGACTGGGGGGGGGGGCTTAAGCTGTGTCGGACGATGGGGCCAGGCGACCCTCGGTGGCTGCGTCGTGGCACCGGCACTGCAAAGCCACAAAGGGGCACGCAAGGGAGGAGGGAAATCCCCCCCCCCCCCTCGGACAACACCGCCGCGACTTGCTCGCCCCGCCAGTCCGACGTGAATCGGAAGTTTTAAACACCCCGGCGGTCGTGCCCGTTGCTGTCGCTGATCGACAATCCTGTCCCCCGCGGTGAGGAAATTTGCCGCCGCGTGAATTCCAACGCGCTTCGGGAAGATCGATCTCGCCCCTCTCTCTCTCTCTCACTCGACAGAATAAATAAATACGTCTCGCTTGCGCCCGCCACCTGGCACTCGCGAGGGCGCCCGTGTTTACACCGCGAAGGAGCTCACCGCTGCCACGCGACGCTCCATATCTGGGGAGCATTTGTGGGAGAGCAGCCTCGTGATTCGTTGGCTGGAGTTGAATACATACAAATTTGATGTCGGCCCCCCCCCACCCCCCTTCAAATGACACCTGCAGGGCACCCCCTCCCCCACCGCTGCTCCCGCCGAGTGCTGCGCTGTCCGATGTGAGCGTTCCCATTCATTCGCCAGCACGACCGTCGGCTGTTGGCGACCGTCATTCGTACGCCGTTCGCCAACACGCTGCGACCAGCAACCACTGAACTCCATCTGTGGTGGGGTGGGTGGTGGGGAAGGAGGAGGAGAGGTGGGGGGCCCCCCCCCCCCCCCCCCACCCAGCGCTGGGGGGGGCGCTGCTCAATTGTCCCAACACCGATTGGTGCAAAGTTTCTGTGGAGTGTCCGGCACAGGATGGGGTTGGATGGTTGCGAGTCGCAGCGTGTCGGTCACCACCTGCGGCAACCAGTACAGTGTGGCCCTCCTTATTTGCGACGAGGCGATGCCCGTGACCAGCAGATTTCGCGGATATTATTGGCCTACGAAAACCTCTTTTTAATGAATTACCTTAAATAAAGAATCTATTAAAGACATGAACATAAAATGGGTTATAATAAAGTAAATAAAAATCAATATTTAACGATTAAATGATGGTTTATTAATGAGCTTACCTGAAATTGATGCAGTAACGATGACCTCACCACTTTTGTGCATCTAAACTAAAACTCAACAATATTTTATTTTACCAGGTGTAAGGCCCACTGAGCAATGTTGTAGCTCTTTCTCATAAACGACCTGGCCACAAATGATAGCTCGACGAAGCGGCTTATCGCGTGGAAATTTATATCAGTCAAATACTCTAAAACATTATCTCTCATCACCTTCTCCGTCTCTCTCGATGCAGAAGTCGCGTAAAGTTCCAGATGCGATTCGCGGACAGCCAGCTTGAGAATAACGAGGCACTACTGTACTGTAATCTGGTTCGCCCGAAGGCGTTCAGCTCAACGCGACGCGCATTCGGAGATCTGATGCGCTCTAAACGTTCATCCCCCTCTGCCCCCCCCCTCCCTCCCCCATGTGAAACGTGCGCATTGCATCGTCGTGACGAACCCGCGTCGCGTCCCGTGGGTGGAGCCACCGACGCCGCGAGCGGTTGTGCACGCTTTTAAGAGATGCATCGGTGACGGGGGGGGGGAGGGGGGATGGGAGGTGACCTTGGGGACATTTTGGTTACATTTGCCTCCATCCAGAAGCGTGCTGGGGTTTTGTCACCGCGTGTCGGCCGCGATGTACGCCTGGCGGAGCGCACAGAGAGACAGAGAGAGAGAGCAGCGCTCTCCATCCTCCCGACATCGTGTGAACGCTGCCTCCGGCAATATCGGGCGGTCGCGCCCGTTGATTCGTAAGCGCAGCTCCATTGTCGGGGTGGCGGGCGACGGCTACGCTGCTGCTGCTGCTGCTCCACGTGGCTGCCCGTCAACCAGCGCCTCGGAGGCAGCAGCAGCAGCGAGGATTGGTGGATCGCCGCACAAATGACGCATTTCTGTGGGCGTCGAAGAGCCGTACCCTGGCGCGCCAGGAGAAAACAGTACAGCAAGTGTGGACTAATCTCCATCAGTTCCGTCTGTATTGGATAGCGTTGCACCTTCGCACCGCGTGCGTTTCCTCCCACACGTGTAAACGCTCGTTAATTGGTCGAAAAACATCTTAATGTATAGAGGAGCGCAGAGCTTGGGCAATTGTCGGCAGTGCCGGCTCACCGCCTGGCTGGGATTGTGAGATTCACTTTGCATGAACGACGATGCTACATACAAAACTTAACATGAATTAAGAGTTTTACTTTTAAAATGTATCCTGTATTTGGACCCAGTATCTTGCCAATAAACTGTTCATGGGATTCGAATTGTGATGTTCAAAGCAGAGTATGGGACCGCAGTACGAAAACCAAGCTTCTGGTCGTGTTCATGACATTTTTTTGTTTTTCTAGAATGTTGACGTCTTATTGTTTTACAATCATGTTGCCATTGCTAGCTTTGAAGTTAACGTTTTACTTAACAGTACAAGGCTAGACATTGCTATTTTGTTCTTTGAGGTCTTTATATAAATATACTATTAAAAAAAAAACACCCCTTGACAAAGTTCATTGTTTTGCTTGCAAATACAACATTGTGTCTACAGGATGAATGATAACAACCCTTGCTGATGATGGCAGCCTACACTCCTTAAACAGCGGAATAGCAAAGCTACGCAAACTTCAATTCCCGCTCACGACCAACACCGGGCGACGAATATTTGAACCAGTTCTGAGCCCTCTGCAAGGATGGCATGTTTGACTTGGGTGCCACGGTGGCGATGTTAACTACCTTGCCTGGTGTACAGGAGGTCGTGGGTTCGATTCTGACCCTGATGCCTGTATATTTGGATGTTCTCCCTGTGGTTGCGTGGTTTTTTTCTCTGGTCCCTCCGGTTTTTTCCCACAACATTTAGAATCGACATGCGTGCAGAGTATTTGGCTGCTATAAAATTCCACAAGCTATTTGTGGTCAGGCTGCTTATGAAAAAGAGCTATGCAGCTCAGTGGGCCTTACCTGGTAAAATCTTTTTTTGTTTTAAAGACTTGGCGGACAGAATCAACAGCGCGGGCTTCAGAGAACACCCCTCCTGGGAACCGTGTACCCATCGCACAAATCCTTTATTTCCTTAAAATGTCACAGTTCATTCGATTGCTGCACGGGAATTGGCACTTTAAAGATAGACGCACGTTTAAAAGTAACGCGTAACAACCGATGTATTGTGGCAAAACATCCCTGGGCAGTGAACGTAATTATTACCGCTTGAACGTTTCTCTCTCTCTCTCTATGGTGCTGCTGCTGGTCTCCCAACTTGAATGCACGAGCCAACGCGGCATCGACGTCAACCCTGGTGGCACGGATCTCATCATCCTCAGCCGTTATGCCCAAGCGCGTGCGTCGATACGTTCTCCGCTCCCATAATCCCCCATTCCCATAATCCCCCGTTCCCATAATTCTGCACGGCTATCCTGTGTCTTCTTTACTATGGCGGTGGCCTTCTTCATCGTGGTTGTGAGCATCACCGTCGTTGTAGCCGCCCTGCTGGGTGACGATGGCAGCGGCGTTCTGGTGGAGTGGCGGCGGCTCCGTGTTGGGCACGGCTTCCCCGGGGGCGGCCACCTGCCGCACCGTCACGTTGACGCGTGACTCGCGCAGGTAGCGCGCGCACACCTCCCAGTCGGCGGCGCTCACGGCGTCCGGCTCCGTGGCACTCGCCCCGGGGTCGCCCCGGGCCAAGGGATCCGGCTCCGCGTGGCCGCCCGCCTCTCCGCCCGCCTCTCCGCCCGCGGCTTCCCGTGGGCACGAGGGCTCCCGCAGGCACTCCGGGAGCGTGCCGCCCGAGTCGAGGATGCGTGGCACGGCGTGGTAGCGCAGCCGCGACTCCCCCGACATCACCATGACATCGCCGCTGTGCATGAAGATTGGCAGCGCCGGGTCTTCGCGCCGCAGCCCACCGAGCAGGAACACCGCAGAGCAGCCAAAACTACGCGCGGCACGAACACCGTGGTGAAGCACGGTGTACGAGTGAGAGGCGAGCGAGTGTGTGAGTGGGCCTGTGAGCGAATGGGTGAGTGTAAATGGACGTCCGAGTGAGCGTGTGACGGTAAATGAATGGGGGGCGAGCGAACGAATGGGCGTGCGGGTGAGGCGCGTGCCTGAAGGAGACGAGCGGCTGGCTGAGGTCCAGTTCCGACTCGTCCACGTGAGGCCCCAGGGCCGAGTCGGCACGGTAGAAGTTCAAGATGGCCGCCTCGGCACAGAACGTGGGGAAGCCGCAGGCGGCGGCGAGGATCGCGGCCAGCGCGGAGACCTCCACGGGGAGACTCGAGCGGTGGTGCGCAGAGTAGCGCTGCACACACCACACACACACCGCACACACACACCACCCACACACACACCACACATACACACACACCACACACACACCACACACACACACCACACACACACACCACACACACACACCACACGTACACACACACACCACACACACACACACCACACACACACACACACCACACACACACACACACCACACGCACCACACACACACACACCACACACACACACACCACACACACACCACACACACACACACACCACACGTACACACACACACCACACACACACACCACACACACACCACGCACACACCACCCACACACACCACACGTACACACACACACCACACACACACACCACACACACACACCACACACACACCACGCACACACACACACACCACACGTACACACACACACCACACACACACACCACACGTACACACACCACACATACACACACCACACGTACACACACCACGCACACACCACACACACACACCACGCACACACCACACACACACACACCACACACACCACCCACACACACACACACCACCCACACACACACCACACACACACACCACACACACACACACACCACACACACACACCACACGTACACCGCGCACACGCATGCATCGCACGCTTTCAGTTGCGCTTCATGTCTGTCCAGTGCTCGTCGAGCGACATTGGCTTCGGGTTGCCAAACAAATACGTCATAAGGTCGCACTCATGACACACAAAGTGCTTGCCACAATTGAACCACGATACCTCGCTGATCTCGTCAAGGAGCATAAAACCATCGCACTTGGTCAGCGTAGGTTTGTGAAGCGGGAGCCCATGATCCGTTTCGGACATAGCACCACCGATGTTTAGCCGTGGCCGGGAATAGAAGTTCACACACATACAGCAGCGGACACTGCACACACCACGGCACTCACCGTGCTCACATTATTAGAGGCTCGGCAATACCGCGCTTTCACCCTCTACTGGAGTGAGTGGGAGCGAGCGAGTGGATCACTCACTGGAGTGAGTGGGAGTGAGCGAGTGGGGAGGCTGCGGCCCACCTTGGTATCCCAGTTGTAGTGGTACCCCAGCGTGACCCAGCGCAGCTTCTCCAGGAGGCTCCGCGGCTCCCGCGGGCTCTTGCCGGCCCTGGGGGAACGGAACGCAAGGCAGCAAAACGGACAGATCGCTCCGCCACGTGGTGCTCAATCGCAGCTCCTCCACAGAGTTACACCGCGGGGAATGTGACCACCTCCCCCGCCGGCTCCCCGTGGTCACGCCGGTTTGGCCGTAGCTGCCACACAGGGGATCTTCGTTTTTTTGTTGTTGTGGGGAGCTCCCTCACCTGATGCCTGAGGCCCACACGTCGTCGCGCTGCGGATCGTGAGCGTCCAGGTTGCACACGTTGGGCTTCCGCGGGTACAGCTTGAGGCACTGGCGCACCCAGAAGCGCTGGCCGCTCGGCAGGAAGGGGTTTACGATGAAGATGAAACCTGCGGGGTCACGTGTCACGCCCCCGGCTCCGTTTGTAACAATGCCGTGCTTCTCTGCGTAGTCCCCAAACGCAGGCGATCCATGACCAGCATGAACATTCGTAATCGGTTTCTTCGCGGGCTAGATCGCCGTGCAGGTACGATGATGTTTCTTCAACGATAACCCGCCACCACCCGACAGAGCGAACAAAATCAAGTTGCCACCTGGGAAAATATCCCAATTGGTTTGTCTTTACCCCCCTCCAACCCTTCTCTCCCCTCCCCCCGTGGCCCCTCCTCCCGTGCCCCCCGCGGCCCCCGTACCGGGGTATCCGTTGAGGCCGTAGGCCCTCCACTGCGACGCAGGCTGCAGGCCCACTCGCTGGGCCTCATCGTCGAGTGCCGAGGCCTCTAGCCGGGTGCGGTAAACCTGGGGCAGTATCCAGGCACGCACGGACGCACGGTGAGACTCCTGTTGCCATGAGAGACTGCGGGGTTACGGGGATGGCAGAACGGCTCGCAGCACCGGAACGGGTAGGGGGGGCGGGGGTCACGTAAGTGCATCGTCTTAGTTATTACTTTATTTTGAGACAGCTGGCCAGCATTGGTGAATTATTACACAACTGGCAGTAACCGTGACCGGGACGTCGATCCACGTCTGAAAGATTCCCTGGAGGTCTGGACCAACGAGCGGCAGATCCTGCCAGGACGGGTAGCGGTCCCGTGTGAAACTCGGGGCTTAACCGGGACTTTCTGGCCGAGTCACGGAAAATCTCTCTCCCTGCTCCCTCCTCAGGGTCCAGGAGGGGGTTGGGGGTTCAGGGGGGGTGGTTTCCAGAAATGTTTAATCCTGGCGAGACCCTTCTTGATATCAGGGCTCCACGACAACATTCGACCACTGTCGAGTCGTGACACAGCCAACACGTTGGCGTGTCGCATGGTATCGACATTATTGCAACTCGCTACTCTATGGGACGTCTGGCAAAACCATTCCCAGGCTGCAGCGTTCACAAAATTGTCTGGCACGTGCCGTGACGAGTCCTGCAAGATCCGACCGTGTCCGTCCAGTGCTCGCCGAGCTGCAATGACTTCCGGTTGCTGAACGATTAAATTATAAAGTTGCACTCATTACGTACAACGTGCTTGCCACGAATGAACCACAATACCTAGCCGATCTCGTCAAGGACCATAAACCATAATCGCATGAACTCCGGTCATCCTCACAGCAGCGGCTTTTGGCTGGCCATCAAACAAAGACGGTCACTGGATCGCACGCTTTCGGATGCGCTTCTGTGGCCGTCTGGAATGCTCTTCTCTCCGATATCAGGAAGCCACTGGAGCTATACATTTTTTAATCTAGAAAACGTATTTCTTTCGAACTGCTTTATGTTTAGTTTGTTGTCCTTCCCCCACACCTCCGATTAGCGCGGTTGGCTACGGATGGTGCAAAAGAAGTCCTACATACATACATACATCCTGTACAGACACCCATTGGAGTGGCCAGGAGACAGAACAGCAAGTGTGTTCATCACCCATCTGTGTCGACGTTGTTTTTAGTGTTACCATAAATACCGGGGTCCGGCGTGGGGGGGGCCCTCACCGTGTCCGGGTGCCGTGCAGCCTCGCGCAGGTCGAGCACGCCGCCCAGGTCGGGCGCTGGGCAGCGCCGGCGGTAGAACTTGAAGAGTTGCCGCATGGCCTCCTCGCCGGGCTCCACCATCACCGCCGGCACCGCCACTGCGGGGACACGCGCAGTGGCCGTCGTGAGCAACGGAGGGGGGCGGTTGCATGCAGCTGAATCTCCTGGACACCTGCGAACAAGAGCTTGAGAGCTCGGATTCCTCCAGTGTGAAGAAATATTCTGAATCGCGTGTACACAATACTCTTAATGATACACGTGGTGTTCTATCACAGCACAAATTGCACGAGGTCTCAAAGCGCTTGACATGAAGCTTGCTACGTGATAGAGAAAGCCTCGCGTACAAACCGGTGAGTTTTAAGACGCGATTTAAAAATGTAAACACTCAAAGATTTCCAAACATTTCACCAAGGTGTGAAGCTGTTAACTACCTCGCCTGGTATACAGGAGGCCGTGGGTTCGATCCCCACTACGACACCTGCTGTATATTTGGAGTTTGCGTGTCCCTCTCCCCGTGGTCGCGTGCATTTTTCTCCTGGTCCTGCGGTTTTCCCCTCCACATTTAGAATCAACATCACGCGTTTAGAGTATTTGTCTGCTATACATTTCCACATGATGATAAGCCACTTCACTGAGCTATCATTTGTGGCCAGGTCACTTCTGAAAAAGAGCTACATAGCTCAGTAGGCCTTACCTGGCAACCAGGTAGGGTGTTGACTGTTGTGTTAGCCGACTCTCTGTGTTGTATTGCATTATATTTCTAAGTTTACTAGGTTTGTTTTCTCGTTCATTTGCACCTGACGACTGCTTGTGTTGCAATCGAAACGTCGTATGCTATTATTTAAGTTATTATTTTCTCTTTTCTACACATGACTTTACCGAAAGAACCAAAGAGTAATTCCTGCAGTCACGAAAGCTCCAAATCAAGTTTAAGTAGTTTTCACAGTTTGGTTTAACACCACAATCGTGGAGCCTGGTTGCAAAAATCTCCCTCTCCCATAGAACAACAGGGAACCGATTCAGGGAACTGATTCCAAAGGCCAGTGGACTATACAACTTAAGCCATATCGGTGAGATTATTTAGGAGCCAACTCATTCAAGGCATTGAAACGTGAGAAGAAGCATCTTGAAGTCTATTCTGTGATTTACAGAGAGCCAGTGCAGGGAGGAAAATAGTGATATGGTCACATGGTTTCGTCGCGAGCACCTACATCGGCTATATGGAAGAGGTGCTGCTCGCCAACAGCACTTGCCCGATGCAGCCTGTTGCAGGCTACACGGGGTGTAGCGTCTTCGTGCGCGTGCTCGTACTTACCTCCTGGCAGCTTTGTAGCCTTGGCCAATAATGTGCAACAACAATTAGACGTTACCTACAATTTGACGTTGCCCAACTGGTGTGGCTCAGGACACCGTCATCAGCTGCGCGCGTGCGATTGCTGCAGTAGTCGCTGTGCGACCGAGGCAACCAAATCGCAAACGGCCCAAGGTTTAAAGCTTTCGTGACTGCAGGGATTCATATTCTTGGTTCTTTCGGATAAAGTCACGTAGAAGGGAAATAATAAAATAATAAAAATAAAACATAAAATTCTCACGACGTTTCGGCCACAACGCAAGCAGCCGTCCTCAGGTGAAGAACAGAGCTGTCGGAAAGACAGCTTTCGGAAAGACAGCTCTGTTCTTCACCTGAGGACGGCTGCTTGCGTTGTGTCGGAAAGACAGCTCTGTTCTTTACCTGAGGACGGCTGCTTGCGTTGTGGCTGAAACGTCGTGAGAGTTTTATTGCTTTATTTTTATTATTTACCTTCTACGCGACTTTATCCGAAAGAACCAGGAAAACGGCCGAAGGCTCGAGCGGGGGAGTGAGGTGTCGCCCTCGGTGGGCAGAGACGAACCAGATCCGTGGTACGCGAGCGATCCCCGCTAAGGCGGGCGGGGTTTGCAAAGATCTGAGCGTGGACGAGAAGCTTCAGCCCTGCGTGCCAGTGTGATTGGTGTGCCCCGGTGGTGAGATGTTATCTCCCTCTCCTGGTATACGAGGTCGTGGATTTCTATTCCGACCACGACACCTGTATATTTGGGGTTTGCCTGTCTCTCTCTCTCCTGTGGATTTTTCTCCGGGTCCTCTGGTTTTTTTCTCCACATTTAGAAACGTGCGTTCAGAGTATTTGGCTGCTCTACATTTCCACGTGATAAGCCACTTCGTTGAGCCATCATTTGTGGCCAGGTCGTGTCTAAAAAAAGAGCTACATAGCTCAGTGGGTCTTACCCGTTAAAAAAATAAATAGTACAATCGTTTAGTTTAAAGTTCAAATAAATGCCGGAAGAAGATGCGTACGAGTTCAGATGAAGTGGTTCTGGACAGCACTCGAACTGCTGCGCTCTGAACGCACGGCAGACGACTGAGAAGCGTTTCAGCACGCACGCCTGGCAAGAGGTCGCCACAATCGTCACTCGCCGCTGGAAACACCCAGAGGTGGCGGCGTCGGAGGTTACCCGATGCTTTGACTTAACGAGAATATAAAAAAAAACTCAATTCAAATGGACAATATTTTAAGCAGCCATTGTTTTTATTATATTATTATGTCTTTGATGTTTCAGTGCAATCCTCTCACTCAGTTCGACATTTTCAAGCATTCGGTTAGAATGGAAATTAGTTTACACATGCATACATGCCCACAGTGCACACACACACACTGCTGCATTGGAATTGTGCTAAAATTAAATATTGTACCCATGGCACACACCAAAGTATGGAGAGGAGTAGACTCAAGGGGGTGGGGGATGGGAGCGGGAAGAGAGACGAGAAAGAATGGGGAAAATAAGAAAACAAGGAACGGAGAATCAGGAGCAGAGGAACACCGTACAGGAAGAAGAAGAGGAATGACTGGGCCATGTTGTCGGGGATGAGATGATGAGAGGGAAGAGAGGAGCGAGCACAAGTTCTCACAGGGGGCGGGGAGAGGGGAAGGGTTCAGAGTGGGGGTAGCCACACAGAAGTCACGTGATCTACGGGAGGCTTGAGATGAATTATATATACTGAGATATAAAAAAAAAATCGGTTTCTCCTGTTTGAGTGAACAGCGTGTACTACACTGTTTAAGCAACATTTACCAGCTCTACCAAACTTGTTAAATGCATGCGTGGCAGCTGTCGGGCATGTTGTTACGAGGGTTGGCACCGGTCTGTTCCCAACTGTTTCCCAACCCCACCTTTGTTTCCCTAACAGCAAATAGACGCGGCAGCCTGGTGACGGTGCTGCCAACGTGACCCGGGCGTGCAAAACACAACGGAGCGATTAAAAGGCATGGATTGGCTCGCGATTGCACGCGAGCGAAAGGCGGCTATTGTCTTTGCGTTTCTGCCTTGGTTCAAGTGACCCCCCCCCCCGCCCCCCCGCCGCAGCCACTTCATCTCGCCGGCGCTAAATGAGATTCCATTCGAGAATCGAAAGGGCGACCTCTGAATCGTGGCGATGCGTTGAATTGCGTGGGGCAAGGTGGGTGGAACTGTGACAGGCCTAACACGCACCGCTTGCAGTTGAGAATTCACCGCGTACGCCAGAGAACGGTAAAACCAACGCCGATTACTGCATCACGCAGCCTCGAATAACGAACGCACGTGTATAAGGTTTACACCAAGAACCTTCGTAATGATTTGCGCCCGGGAAAAAGTGCTATCGTTCGGGTAAATCCACAAATCAGATCTCTCAATCGAATCTAAATGGCGCGCAATGCAGAATTGTCTCTACTCATACGTGAACAAAAGCAGACCATGAATATAAATGTGTCGCTTGAAACGTTGCGCGTACAATGCACAATGCGCATAAACAAAAGACGAACCTGTCCCAGTGTAGATCAACTGTTAGCCTACGACGGGCGAACGCCACTTAACGCGGCTCGTACGGAGCGAGCGCTGCCCTCTACCGCGCGAAGGCGTCTCGGCGGTAGCTCCGCGGCATCCGCTTCCCGCGGGCCGTTCTGCAAGGCGACCCCGTCGGGTCGCCACCGCTCTGCGAGTGATCCCAGTGGACGCTTCGTCCCGTGGTCGACGCCACGCCAACAGCGCAATCGGGATAACAATTGGCAGGACAAAAATAATAATAACAGTTGAGGACGGACAATGTCTGGCTGTTAAGAAGCTGCGGGGGGGGGGGGTGGGTGGGTGGGTGGGGGGGGTTGTGATTCCAGGAACGCCAGGATCACGCTGCGGCCGCCCCTCGCGGACGCTGGAAACCAGACGCTGGCTCTCCGCCAGTCGCGGACGCTAGCGCTCCGCCCCGGCCGCCTCGGCGTTGGCGGTGCCGGCGTCGGGGAGCCGGCACTTGGCGACGAGCGCGGCGAGCCGGCCCTGCTGGCTCAGGCGCTGCGTCTCCGTGCCGCCCCCGATGCAGCGCCCGTTGACGAAGACTTGCGGCACGGTGCGAGCGCCCGTGGCCAGCGCCAGCGCCTGCTGCAGGGCACGGCCGTCGGCGCGCCGGTCCAGCTCCACGGCGAGGTAGCGCGCGCCGATCTCGTCGAACGCCCGCTTGGCCATGGTGCAGTAGGGGCACGCGGTCTTGGAGAAGATGACGACGCAGTTGGAGGCCACCGTGTCCCGCACGTACTCGCCCTCCGCCGTGTCGGGCGGCCGCGTCCACAGCGCGTTCCCCATCCTCGCCGCCCGGGACCGCTGAGCGCAAACGGGCGGCACGACAACGCCGTCCGGCCTTTTAGAGCGGACGCGGCCAACTTCCACAAGCGCGCCCGGGCGCTTGGGTCACACGTTAACTCGCAGCGTCACGACAGCCGCGGCGACGCCGCGCCGCCGCCCGGCGTTCGCTCTCCGAGAGGGAGGAAGCCCGAAGAGGTGGCAGCACAGGGACCACGGACACGAGCGGGAACGGCGGCGGCCTGGTGGGGAGCCATCGCTAACAACTGCCCAAGCTCTGTTGGTCCTCTGTATGTTAAGATGTTTTCAGAAGGTAACCGAAGCACCCGGGGAAAACCCCATGCAGACACGGGGGACAACACTGGATGGACATTTGCTGTACCGCCTTCTCCTTGCAGAGCCAGGGTATGGAAACTCGATGCGCACGGGAAGGGCGCTTCAGGTTTTTGTGTTATCAAACAATCCTCGTTTCCTCCACAGTGCTGGATTGCAGACCAAAGTGCACACCACCACCACCACCACTTCCTGGCTTTGCCACGTCACGTGGCCTGTACGATATTTTACCATTTAAAATTTTTCGCAACTCCCTTGTAGCTGACTGTAGGGCATGGTCCTTCCCTTTATTTTCTTTGGGGAATAAACAAAACGCATCCCAAATTTTTTCAAAAATGTTAATTTTCCCACACTGTACGCACAGAGAAAGGCAAGGCCAACTGAGCTATGCAACTATTTTTTCAGAAGCAACTTGACCACATTATGATAGCCCAATGAAGTGGCTTATCGTGTGGAAATTTATAGCAGCCAAATTTTTATAAACATGTTGATTCTAAATGTAAAGAGAAAAACCGGACGACCTGGAGAAAAATCCACGCGACCATGGGGAGAGACAAGCAAACAGCAAATATACAGCAGCAGGCGTCAGGGTCGGAATCAAACCCACGACCTCCTGCATACCTGGCGAGTTAGTTAACATCTCCTAGCCACTGTGGCCTCTAGGTCAGGGCGCCGAGATGGCACCCCACGGATCCCGTGCTCAACCGGGAGAACCACCAGGCCCTTAGGGGCACGCGAGTTCATGGCCTCAGGCTGGTCATCAATTAATCAAATTAACTCAATTCTGGAACTTGAGGATCAACAAATACCAGTTGAACTGCCACGTGATGAACAATCAGCCGGGTGGCGGTGGTGGCGGTGCACGGGGCTGACTGTAATCCAGGAGGCAGCAGCGAGCTGGGTTGGTGGATCACCGTACACTGATGTTGAGCAACTCCCTTACCGTGGGCATCGAGGAGGTGTCGTACCCTGGGCTCGCCAGGAGGTGGCGGTACGGCAAAACGTGGCCTCCGCCTGTTCCACTTGCATGGGTTAGCGTGTTCTGCTCGCGCGCGTTGGTTTACTCTGGGCGTTCGGGTTTTCTCAAACATGTAAACTTTCATTAAGTGGCCGAATACATCTTTAGAGGACCGCAGAGCTTGGGCAAATGTCGATAGCGCTGGCACCTCCGGCTGATCGACTGCCTTCCCGCCCTTCCGTGATTCCTCCTCGTGCCTCACGAGTCGTTCTCTCTCTACGACAGCGAGCAGATAATGGGCGGCTTCCGCATTACGAGTTGACGTTATTGCTATTCCAACAGCAGGCTGCTTGGGAAAGTGCAGTGGCCCCTTTGCAAATACAAGAGCCAAGCGCTGATCACAGAGGCAGTTTTGTGAGATCTTCTTCCCACGCGGGACATCCCACGCGGGGCATCCCACGCGGGGCATCCCACGCGGGGCATCCCACGCGGACATCCCACAGGGACATCCCACGCGGGACATCCCTCGCGGACATCCCACGCGGACATGCCACACGTCAGGTAACGCGACGCCGTGAGCCATGCCACAGACGGTGCCTGCAGGGCACTCTGGACAGAGGAAGCCGACGGCGTGCGCTGCCCCGACACAAAGTGGTGTTCGTTTTAGCGACCCGGCGGGGATAATGGGGACGAGTCAACCCCCCACCCCAACCCGACTGCGAGCCCTTCACTCTTACCGCCGAGCCACGTGGCTGGTTTTCACCTGCATGGGAGCCCGTGGACAACACCGCAGGGATGAGTTTGCTCTCTCTAATGAAGGTGATGAGTCGGCTCCCTGGCCCACCACAGTCTGAACCGTCCCCACGTGCCCGCTCACAGGCAGCGCACAACGGATCGAAGTACGGCACAGACAATAATGTACGTTGGTATGGCGGGACCACGTTGCGGAGTTTGTGGTCTGTGGCGCACAACCACGGCGGCCAAACCTACAAGCGGTGTGCCGCGGGTTACAGGAGGAAAGAGCCGTGTGGTTCCGTTAATCCGCGACAGATTTGCGGATTAAGAGGGAAATAGGTTGTTTACACTCAAATGGTGGAAATCTGTCAATGGGTCTGCGCAAAAGGCTTATTTTTGCATATTTTCGACTTGATGGTCAAATCTAAAACATGCTAAATTATTTTCTTTCAAACAAATCACATAAGCACGAGTTAGTCAGTGCTTATGTGTAGTGTTGTAAGGACGAGCAGACTTCTTTAGGAGGCACACTCTGTTTATTGTATTATTTCCTTATGCAACGCTTAACACACACAGGGGGATATTCGGTCCCCTCACCCGATACCCTAGGGAGGTACAGCCTCCGTACCTGGCGGGACTCACACGTCTACCGCTAACCTCCTTGATACCTAAGGAGGTACAACCTCCGGACTTGGCGGGACTCACACGTCTACCGCTATCCTAGTCCTCCGGCTAGGACCTAGGGGAGGCTATCTGACCCACCGCTGGCCCGGTGGGTCCTGACCACTGGGTATGCAGAGCCTTAGCCCTTAGAAGGGCTGAAAGGCTGGTCCAGGGTCCTAGCTAGGCTTCAGCCCAGTCTTGTCTTCGTGCAGGGAGAGAACTCTTCGAGGTCCGTTGGGTCACCCGTCTTATACCCCTTCGTGGCCAGGTAGAACCAATCATACATTCCCACGTGGAACCGTCTGATTGGTTCGCACCAAACCCTGGCCACGATCCGTTTCACCTCGACTGACCCCAACCGTTGTACCCAGGGGTAATGCTGCACTGCCCTGGTGGCAACGAAGGTTACACAACAGCGCGTAGTTAACACCTCTACATATGCAAAACAAAAAAATGCTAATTAAAAAAAAACTCACCAGAGCATTTCCCTACAGCTCTCGCTTCTGCAGCTCCGCATGAGGCCTGCACACTAATAATAATGCATAGAAATAGGTTTTACCCTTTTAACTGGCACAAAAACTGACACCTTTATTCAAGGCATCATGTTTGCAATAACCACAAGCAGTCAAAATGCAAACAAAAGAGACAGAGTTGTCTCTTTTGTTTGCATTTTGACTGCTTGTGTTGTGGTTATTGCAAACATGATGCCTTGAATAAAGGTGTCAGTTTTTGTGCCAGTTAAAAGGGTAAAACCTATTTCTATATCTTGTTACTGGCAAAGGAGGTCTCATAATGAAAATAATAAAGCAGTTTGTAACGCGCGCAAATTTGCGGACGGAACGGCCGCAACTCAGGAGGCGTGGAGTCAAGCTCAGGGTCATTCAAAAGCGAGGTTGTGGAGGTGAATTTTTAAGTGTCTCTTGAAGGAGACGATGGAGGTGATGCTGCGAATGTGCAGAGGGATGGCGTTCCAGACTGTTGGGGCAGTCTGGAATGCCATCGCATTCTGCAGCTCCGCAAAACTTTTCCAATCTCCCGCGGTGTGCGGTGCCAGTTCCACACGGACATGCGTGGGAAGTCCGTGCGGTGGTAATAATTGGTGGTTCGCACAGTCGCAAGTTATTGACATTCTGCCGACTGGAACTCTAAACCGTGCCCTTTCCCTTACACGCTCTCAACCGTCCCACACACATGAAACAAGGCCCACTCAGCTACCTGCAGAAGCACTATTTTATTCAATTACAACCGGACTTTCTCGAACCGAGACACAGGCATTGCTCGAGCTGCGTTTTTAACACGGACTTAATTGTTGTCAAGTTGAAAATGTGAAACAACGCCCACAGTCCGAGTACTACTTCGCCTGCACGTAACGGAGCGCCTCATTGATCAATATTGAAACTTTTGCAATGACAAAAGAAAATGAAACATTGCAAACCACCACGACCAGCTTGTGGAATGAAAAGATTTAAAGCTACGTGTAGAGTTCATGTCAAGTAAACAAACCCTGAGGCAGCTCTGTGAAGTGAGAATGACCCGTCTAGACCAGGGGTTGGCAACCAAAACAACAAGGGACATTGTTTTCAAATGCGTTTAAAAAAAACAACCCTAAATAATTTAAGAGTTGCACACGCGGTGAATACGCGAGACGGTGGTCCTTAATAAATGACGTCACGAGGCAGTCCTTGAGGAGCCGCTCTCACCTCTAGAGCCGCAGGCTGCCAAACCCTGCGCTAGGCCCAGCCTTTGGATCACTCCTCTCAGGCACTTCCCCAAGCAAAGGGCTCTCGAACTTCCAGTGCGCACGCCCGCACAAACTCACCACAATGCTCCCAATTAAATGCACGTTTAATAATAATAATTTGAACTTGCACGGTATTCGCGCGCCGCTCTCGTGGAGAGAGAACGATTAGGGGGGGGGCGCGACGAGGAACCACAGTCAGGCGGTGATTGGCAGCCACGCTGTGAGTCGGCGCCGACAACTGTCCAAGCTCTGTGGTCCTCTAACGCGGTGGTGGTTCTCAACCTTGTCGAGCTACTTTACCCCCTTGTTGAATTTATTTTCAAACAAGTAACCCCCTCGCCTGACCCAACACGGTTCTGAGAAATACATTTATGAATAATCAACAGCAATATTTTCACCAATTGTCCATTGGGTGAGGTATCCTAACTAGCTAGGAACTGCAAACGAATAAAAACAAATTCAACAGACACCCCCTGGATGCGCGACGTCATTTGTTCACGCTCACTGGTTACTCTTGGAAACCACATTGTGTACGATCAATGGGTTTATAAAGGTCGTTTTTATTGTTCGAGGTTACCATAGGGATTTAAAATTTATAAGCGTTATTTTATTGGCAGATTCATATATGATTATTCACCAATGACTCTCATGAATGACATAATTTCACACATTTATAAATCACCTCATCACGTACCCCTGGCTATATATTCAGGTGTTATCGGCTAACTAATGAGTGTATACACATTACGTCATTGCAGATCGGCAGTAAGTTGTGACGAACGCAAGACTGCGTTGGTGCTGGAGTGTGGGGCTGGCCTGACCTAGCCAGTGGCAGCTCCGGTCATATAGAGAGGCACACTCATGGGGAAATGCATCTCTTCACTCAAAATTTCTTGCACGTGCCATTGAAAATGTAATTACTCATCCGTCAGTCCCTGCTCTCGATATAGTCTCTTCTCGATCACACAGCCGAAACGCCCCCTTGTCAATTGCGTAAGTGTACACTTTTTACATGATCTGATATTTCAATGCAGTGCTGTGCCGATGGATAAACCGCTACCTACACTTACTCCTCATCTACACTTGGCTCTATGGGTCCCTTGTCATGACTTGAATTCCTGTCCACAATATGAACACAGTAATGTTTGGGCAGAGATTTCTTGCTCCGATCATGATCGGTAGACCCGCCGTGCCTGTGAATAGCATTGCGTACCGATGCTACGCGTAGCTGTGATTATAGGAAAGTGCAGAGGTGCTCGCCAACTTCAGGAAGCTGCCGATCTCCAAAAATGCCAAAAGCTGCAGAATCCTCAATCAGTGGCCACTGCCCACATTCAATTGCAAGCAGAGAACCCGCCGACTTCCTACAGTAATACAAATAAAGACGCTGCAAATGGACAAATGTGACACGGATACGTTGAACGGGGACACTTAACAGTTATATATACGCACAGGTCGAGAAATTAGAATTTATAAAACGGCAGACGCGGTCCGACGCAAATGCTCGAAGTCGTGTTGTGTTTTAACGGTTACTTTCAGATGCTACAGCAAGTCTCTACGGAGAGATGCGCTGACACAACCGGACCCTAAAACTCTGCGAGCCAACCTCATTGGGCAGGAGTGGAGTTGGCGTGTGCGTGGGGCGCTGGGCAATGGCACCTGCGCCAATTAATATCATCATCATCCCGTCATATCTGTATTACAGCACGTCCCATGTAAACCGCCGAGTTAAATCGACTTTACGCAGGCGGACACTTTCCACAACAATGATCCGCGTGAGCTGAAATCAACGAGCATAAATAAAAACCGCTTGCGAGCATTTGTGCGTTGCACCTCGACTCTTCCAGGTTTGTGCACGTGCAGCGGTCCGAGGCTCGGCGATGCCAGAAGCAGCAAGAGGAGACGACGCGTGACCTCTGTGTATCGCGAGCAGCAGCAGCAGCAGTAGCAGGCAAGTCCCTCCCCGCCTCCACCCCCCCCCCGACCCCCAAGCGGCGTAAGAATCCTGACGCGAGCGAGCGTGCTCCCTTCTATGATGCTTCATATGGACCCGCAGGGCGTGCCGGGCCGGTCCCGCGTCCTCGCTCGCCACACCCCGGGGGAGTCTGCCGGCCATAATTCCGCGGATTCCTCCGTCACGCCGTGTGCAACGACTTTGCGGCCGGCGCCGGCGCCGTCACCACCTCGCCCTTCATGAACAGGTCCTTGTCGTAAACGACTCGCACGAGCAGGGAGCAGCTGGGGCACGTGGCGACGTCCTCTCCGTTCTCCAGGTCCTCCTTGCTGATGGCAAAGCGGTCGCCGCATGGGCACGGGTAGTAGTAGGTGTCCGTCTCCTCGTCGAACTCAAAGTCCTCGATCTCCACCTCGTCGTGAAACGTCCCCTCGGGCTCGGCCATCTTGGGTGCGGGCGCGTCAGAAGGAGTCAAGGCGTCTGTTGACCGGGAAGAAACAATTCGGGGTTGAAATTTGCAGCCATCTTCCAAGGGTCTACAAACTCAAGTTGCCCGCGTACGGAACCTTCGTGCAGCGATCGTTTTGACCGGCTGTACGCGTGCCCGCATTGAGGGACTGCGCGGAGGCGGATGGAGCAAAGGGTCATCTCGTACGGGGCAAAGGCACGGTCACAGACGCGCAAATCTGTGGGTAAGAGGGGTCGCGCTCGCAGGTCGCCACAGACAATCTTTTGGCCGAGTTCATCTGTGGCACCACTGTGGCCGTTGCCACGGCCAGATGCCGAGAGTGAGAGCAACGCTACAGGGAACGATAAACACCGGCAGGGGGTTCCCTCTACTCCTCGACCCGGCAAGAGCCGAAGTCTGCCGTGTTCACGTTGGTCGACGTCATGCGCTCCCCAATTCCGTGGCCCTGGTGGCACCTCGCACGGGGGCTCCGTGCGCTCGCGCTCCGCCGCAGGAGACGACGTTCGAGTCCCGCGGAGACACGCGGGGAAGAGAAGCGATACACCAGAGGCGTGCAGACTCCCTCCACGTGCGATTACCATCAAGTGCTTCTCAAAAAACTGTACATCAGTTTTGGATTTGTTTTTCTGTTCCCAGCCATGAGACGCGGACACGACACGGGAGAATTCTCATCTGCCGCCGTGTGTAGGAGGCCGTGCCTCTACCAAAGCTCAGGGCAGAGACCGCTCTTGCAGCAGACCAAGCACTTCTGAATTCCGACCACCATCGACTCCCGACCACCACAATAGTTCGCCCGCAGTGGCTGAACACGTTCGCATGGGACTTGTGTTGTAGACGAATGGCCCAATCGCGGCCATTCGTGAGCGCCCTGCTGCATTTCACAGGCGTATAGGGAACTGTGTGACTCACGATGCGGAATACATGAGGGATGACCAAAGGGCCGCTGGGACTTGTGCATTTAATATATTATATATTTATATAAATATGTACTCTATTTACATACTATATAATATCTTCTTGGTTCTTTCGGTAAAGTCACGTAGAAGGGAAATAATAAGATAACAAAAAATAAAACATAATAAAAATAAAATGCGCTGTGAAGAAGGGGCAGCCTATTATATAGTAGGCTACAGTGCAGAGCAATGCCCCTTCTTCACAGCGCATGGTGAGGCAAGTGAGGTGGTAGTGCCACTGCGCTCCCTCTCTGACCTCTCTATGTGCTGTGAAGAAGGCCCATTGCCCAAAACGTTGCCTATTTGATATATATTTATGTTTAAAGCAAGTGTTTTTTTTGTTTTGTAACAGCACACACAGCTCTACCACTCAGGACTCTTCTCTCGTAGCCACACTCCCAGGTTGTGCCAACTCGGCTGTCACCTGCACCCCCTTTGATGCCGAGTTAATGAGCAGTGGTAAACAACAACAACAATTTAAAATCAGAGTGGGGGCGCTGATTCCTCATGTCGCCCTGGTCACGTGGCTGCAGCGGCGTTTACAACACAACCAGGCCCCTACCGCCTGGCCGTGACGTCGCTGGCTCCCAAGTCGTGTGGTCTGGTGGCCCCCCAATCAAGGCCACTAGTACCCCCCCCCTCCCCCCACAGCCCCAAAAACACAACTACGTTTCCGACTGCCACTGTCAATACGGAGGTATTCATTATGTCGATGGCACCAGTCAACACGGCGTTAGCAAGGTTATTTCACGTCGTGTTTTGTCGTCGCACCGTGGAGCTAACGTTATCTCGAGCATATTTTAATATTTCCCTGCACAGTTTCCATGCCGCAGCCACGCCTGAAGGCTTTTGCACTCCGTGCGTCCCACAGGTTAGGTGACGCTGCTTTCGAGTGTGTTTCCATCACTAAGCGCTTACCCTCACTGTGACTTTAGATTTTAAAAAAAATTATCAACTAAACATTTTTTTACATTTTTACCAGGTAAGGCCCACTGAGCTATGTAGCTCTTTTTTAAGAAGCGACCTGGCAATCACAAATTATAACTCAACGAAGTGGCTTATCGTCATGTGGAAATGTATAGCAGCTAAATACTCTAAAACACGCGTGATGCTGTTCTAAATGCGGAGGAAAAAACCGGAGGACCCGGAGAAAAATCCACACGACAATGGGGAGAGAGACACGCAAACTCAAAATATACAGCAGCAGCAGCAGCCTGCGTCAGGGTCGGGATCGAACCCACGACCTCCTGTAGACCACGCGAGGGAGTTAACATCTCGCGAGATATTCTTAGTTCTTTCGGTAAAGTCACGTTGAAGGGAAACAATAAAATAATAAAATATATATAAAACAATAAAAATTCTCACGACGTTTCGACCATAACACAAACGGTCGTCATCAGGTGTGTCGGTTTGCATACATTTATTTGTAAACGGTGTATTTATTTATTTATAAAAAAAACGTTAGCGCCACGCGCAGCGATTTGGCAATTTATTTAGAAGGACTAGTCCATCTATGTTCTGAAAAGAGGAGGGGGGAGACGAAAAATTTAATGTATGCTGTCTGAAAGCCACTGTAAGCGTGAACAATCAATTAAGACCTGAAATGGTTTATCAAATCTTTCCAATGATTGCTAAGCCAGAATCCATCTTCTCGGTTGAAATTGTGCTTGTATATGTGGATAGCCTCATGAACGAATCTCTCATGGTAGCCAGATGGCTTACAAAGAACCTCTGTCTTGGAAAAGTCAATGTCATGTGAGCCTACTGAATTATAACAATAATCTGCCACGGCCGAGGTGTTGGTCCTACCGTGTTTAAGGTCTGCTTTGTGTTCACGAATGCGGCCCGAGACATGGCGTTTGGTTTCTCCAATGTAACTACTACCACAGAGGCAACTTAGTTTGTAGACACCAGGGTATTGTATGTCCGGAATCACATCTTTTACAGACGGAACCAGATCACGGATTTTATGTAATGTGTTGAAACGGACCTGGATCTTGTGTTTGTTCAAGATTTTGGAGATCTTTTTCGTGATCCCCGCAATGTAGGGTAAAGTGATTGTTTTGAAAGGCTCCTCAAGAGGGTCTTTCTTCATGATTTGAGTGATAGCTTTGCAGATTGTATAGTCGGAGTAACCATTAGCCTTAAGAGCTTGGTGTACGTGCTTGAGTTCACTGCCTATGTGTTCCTGGTCGGATATGCATTGGGCTCTATGATACAGAGTCTTGATGAGAGAATTCTTCTGTGATGGATGGTGGTGGGAATCCGGTTTCAGATAAGCATCCGTATGGGTAGCTTACCTGTAGACAGAGTGGCACATTGAACCATCAGGTCTCTTTTTAATTAGGACATCCAAAAAAGGTAGCTTGCCATCTTTTTCGACTTCCATGGTAAATCTGATGGCTGGGTGTATGGAATTGATGTGGTCGAAGAATTGGTCTAGAGCAGGCCGGCCATGTGGCCAGATGACAAAAGTGTCATCCACGTACCTCTTCCATAAGGTTGGGCGCAAAGTGGCAGTCTGGATGGCGTCAGTCTCAAATTTCTCCATGAAAATGTTAGCTATAACCGGAGATAGGGGGGAGCCCATTGGGGTGCCCTCAGTTTGTTTGTAGAAAGTTCCATTCCAAGTGAAGTATGTATTGGTTAAACAGTGTCTCACCAGGGGGGGGTACCTCAGTGTTTAGTCCTTGATGAACCAAGTCTTCAATGATTGCGATGGTGTCAGGTACAGGAACCTTGGTGAATAAGGAAACTACATCAAAACTGACAAGCAGGTCGTCTGGGGACAGGGAAATACCCTTGATTGTCGATACCAGGTGAGTAGAATTTTGTACCGCAGAGGTGGTTTTTCCAGTGAAAGGACGCAGGATTTCAGACAAAAAACGAGCCAGTTTGTAGGTGGGGGAGTTGATAGTAGAGACGATGGGACAAAGGGGTGTATCTACTTTATGTATTTTTGGTAAGCCGTATAATCTTGGCCGGCCTGGCAGCAGAAGGTTTCAACGAAAACTGTTTAGATTGATCAATTAATGCGGTTGAATCAGAACTTATTTTGTTGGTTTGTGTGACGAGGCTGTTGGTGGGATCTTTTTATTTTTGTATAACTACCATCGTCGAGTAATTCTTTAATTTTGTTGTTGTATTCTATTTTATCCATGATGACAGTAGCATTGCCCTTGTCAGCTGAGAGGACTACAATATCATCCCTCTTTTTTAATTTATATAATTCAAAACGCTCATCTTTGCTGAGGTTGCTAGCTGGCATCTTAGCGTTTTTGAGGGTTGCAGTGATTTCAGATCTTGCTACGTCTGCAGCAATGTGACCCAGGCCCCTGAGAGCAACGTCTACTTGGGCAATTATATCATTAACTGGTATGTGTTTAGGTGTGACTGCAAAGTTTAGACCTTTAGCTAAAACGGATTTCAGACCATCGGAAATAGAACTGTTACTGCGATTAATTACGACTTTGTTAACGTCTAACTTTACATAAAATCCGTGATCTGGTTCCGTCTGTAAAAGATGTGATTCCGGACATACAATACCCTGGTGTCTACAAACTAAGTTGCCTCTGTGGTAGTAGTTACATTGGAGAAACCAAACGCCATGTCTCGGACCGCATTCGTGAACACAAAGCAGACCTTAAACACGGTAGGACCAACACCTCGGCCGTGGCAGATCATTGTTATAATTCAGTAGGCTCACATGACATTGACTTTTCCAAGACAGAGGTTCTTTGTAAGCCATCTGGCTACCATGAGAGATTCGTTCATGAGGCTATCCACATATACAAGCACAATTTCAACCGAGAAGATGGATTCTGGCTTAGCAATCATTGGAAAGATTTGATAAACCATTTCAGGTCTTAATTGATTGTTCACGCTTACAGTGGCTTTCAGACAGCATACATTAAATTTTTCGTCTCCCCCCTCCTCTTTTCAGAACATAGATGGACTAGTCCTTCTAAATAAACTGCCAAATCGCTGCGCGTGGCGCTAACGTTTTTTTTATAAATAAATACACCGTTTAAAAATAAATAAATGTATGCAAACCGACACACCTGATGACGACCGTTTGTGTTATGGTCGAAACGTCGTGAGAATTTTTATTGTTTTATATATATTTTATTATTTTATTGTTTCCCTTCAACGTGACTTTACCGAAAGAACTAAGAATATGAATTACTGCAGTCACGAAAGCTTTAAATCAAAATCTCGCGAGATGTTCCTGAAGCGCTTCCTCTAATCCAGCGCTAGGGGCAGCAGAGATGGCCTCGCTCACGCACGGAGGCGTCTCTCACGGGAAGGAGTCGGCGATCTCGTGTCCGTAGCTCGCGTCGCAAACTTTTTTTTTGCCGCTGGGAGACAAAAATCCCAGGCATATCGGCTCAGTGCGCAATGGGTCTATCCATGAACCCTGCGCAGTTAAAGCTATGATCAAGTTCAACAGGGGGAAAAACCCGGTGCCGGATCTCGATACAAATTAATTCCTGCCGCCACCCCAACGCGGATGCCAATTCCCCGACCGGTGGCTACCCGACAGAGTGAGCGGGTTACTGACAAGGCAAATGAGAACGAGTGACGGGGGTGGTTGCTTTCTTTGCTGGAGACCAAACCCGGACATTGTCCGCACAACACCTCGCGTCTATGATTACAGTACAGTCCAGTCTTTTTATAACGAAGCGCAACACGACACGCGGTACCTGATCTGTGTAGGGCACAAACAAATTCCTGCCACCCAAACACAGATGGCACTTTCCAGACAGGTGCCAATACTAATTGGTGGTGGTGGTTTATTTGGCTGGCCAAGACGGTCACGGCATCGCGCGTTTTAGGATTCGCTTCTGCGGCCGTCTGGAACGTTCTTCCTTCCGATTTTCGCAAGCCACCAGAGCTATGCACTTTTACATCGAGATTGAAAACTCATTTATTTAGCACTGCGCTTTGTGTTTAGTTTGCCGTCCTTCCACCGCACCTCCGACTACCACGGCTGGTTACGTACGGCGCGAAAAAGTTCAACATACACACAACCGACCAGGCGAATTAAAGAGCGGGTGAGTGTTAAGGTCGCAAGCTCTCCCACTCACTGTAGGCCACACACGGACACGGTTCAGTCCGCTCGAGGTCTGTCATCAACACTGTGCAGGATCCTGTAATGAAGCTCTCGGCACAGCAGTACCGGTACCAGACCTCGACTCAAACCACCAACTCCCGCTGCCAAACTCGCAGCACGGCCAGTTGGCGCTTTACCGACAGAGGCAGCTATCCCGGCATACGCGCATGGGGATCGTACGGTGCCAAAGAAGTTAAATACAGTACATACCACATACAGTACATACACGCAGAGGTGCCAACTACCGCGAGGTGCCCGCGGGGCCCCACGTGGCGTCCACGCCGAGACGCGGCCACCAGCCGGCAACGAGGCGTCTCGCACGCAGGGTCGGGATGGTGGTGGTGGTGTGGGATGGTGGTGGTGGGGGGGGGATGGTGGTGGTGGTGGTGTGGGGTGGTGGTGGGGGAGGGTCGAGATGCGAAGGTCGAGGTGAGGAGATCGACAAGGTGTGAAAGTCGCGGTGAGAACGGCGAGCTATGAAGGCGGAGTCGAAAAGGTGAAGGCCGCGTCGGGGTGAAAGTCGAGGCGAGAAGGTCGAGCCGTGACAGTCAAGGTGAGAACGGCGGGACGAGAAGGTGGAGGTAGGAAGGTGGAGGTAGGAAGGTGGAGTCGAGGCGGTGGAGGTGTCGAGGTTGACTCACCGCGAGGACGAGGAGGAGGCGATGGACTCCGCGCGCAAACTCGCTCGGCAACGTCATCCCCAGAGGGCCTCGACTACGGCAAGCGCGGAGCGGTCACCCGCGCGCACTTTTACAAACGCGTTCCGGGGCCGCTCGCTACCGCGCATGCCCATTGGACGACTCGACGACAATAAAAAAAATAATCTATCGTTGAATAATATAACTTATATATTCTTGGTTCTTTCGTGTAAAGTCACCACGTAGAAGGGAAACAATAAAATAATAATATATATAAAACAATAAAATTCTCACGACGTTTCGACTGCAACACAAGCAGTCATCATCAGGTGTGAAAACCAACGGCAAGAATCATTTGAAAGAAGTGGCGGTTTAATTTGTATTTAAAGCTTTCGTGACTGCAGTGATTCATATTCTTGGTTCTTTCGGTAAAGTCACGTAGAAGGGAAACAATAAAATAATAAAATATATATAAAACAATAAAATAATAATATATTACTTCTTCTTTCAAATGTTTCTTGCCGTTGGTTTTTCACACCTGATGATGACTGTTTGCGTTACAGTCGAAACGTCCTGAGAATTTTATTGTTTTATATATATTTTATTATTTTATTGTTTCCCTTCAACGTGACTTTGCCGAAAGAACCAAGAATATGAATCACTGCAGTCACGAAAGCTTTAAATACAAATTTTATATTTCAAGTTTCATTTATTTGGTATAGCCCTGTGAGCCATGCGGCTCTTAAGTCGGGTGCAACCGCAACAAACAAAATTTGAACACAGAACATCTTAAAGCGACAACGCGTAACAGAAACATCCTGGAATAAACCAGCAAATATTCCACACAAAAAAAACGTACAAATATAACTTAGTTGTCAAATCCTTATCAGTGTCTAGCTTATTACAGACCAATTCAGACCTTATTGGTCATCCCGTGCCCCTTGTAAATCTCAACGTTCATCCTACAAAGTCTCATCATCAAGGGAGAAACACAAATAAGACGCAAAGAATATAAATAAGGGGCCGTCCATAAATGACGTCACGCGATTTTGGACCATTTTTGACCCCCCCCCCCCATCGTCACACGGCGTCACAAAAAGTCAGACCCGCCCTCAAATATGACGTCACAAAGCTCTCCCCCCCCCCCCCCCAAAGCATATTTCCATTTTGAAAATAAAACATGCTTCAAATCGCTTTAAACAATTGTCATTGCAGTGCGTATTTAATGTGGCGCTGCACTCTGATGTTGTAGGAGAAAACATTTATTAAAAAGTCTATTTAATTAAGTAGAACGTGTTGTCTATATTTATTTAAAGTTGCGCATTTTGATGTGACGTCACATTTCTCACCCCCCCCCCCCCTCTCGTCACACATCGTCACAAATGTCTGACCCCCCCCCACCCCGAGGCGCGTGACGTCATTTATGGACGGCCCCTAAGACAGATTTAAAATCGTTGCCCGTATTGAAACGGCTGTACGCCTTATGGACCTGGAAAACATTTTCTTGCTGTGGTCTTCACACCTGATGATGATTGCTTGTGTTGCAGTCGAAACGTCGTGAGAATTTTATTGTTTTATATTTTTATTATTTTATTGTTTCCCTTCCGCGTGACTTTACCGAAAGAACCAAGAATATGGCTATGATATAAATAACGATATAAGCAGACTTGGTGTGTCCGTCTCTACACCTAGACAACAAACTAAGGACTCCTGGCTCTTTCGGTAAAGTCACGTAGTTAGAAAATAAAATAAATCACGACGTTTCGGGCGCAACACAAGCGTCCGTCATCAGGTGTGTTGCGCCCGAAACGTCGTGATTAATTTTTTTATTTTATACCTACGTGACTTAACCGAAAGAACCAAAGAGTATGGATTACTGCAGTCACGAAAGCTTCAAATCAAGATTAATGATTCCTGCTGAAACAACAGATAATCCCACCACGACCTCTCTTGCAGGGCACCACCTCTGGACCAAGTTTCGACATGCTGCTGAAAACGTGCGCTCTCAGAAATGCCGCGAGGTTCTGGAGGAAGTAACACATTGTAATTGTTGGCCTGTACGAGCGCAGCGGATCGCGAGCGACGGAGAACAACATCACCTTGATTTGGAGCTTTCGTGACTGCAGGAATTGCTTTTTGGTTCTTTCGGTAAAGTCGACGTGTAGAAAGAAAATCAATTAATAACAGAATACGACGTTTCCATTCCAACACCACAGGCAGTCGTCATCAGGTAGAACTACATTTGAGAGAGAGAGACAGAACACAGACACGGAGACACACAGACAGACAGACAGACACACAAGTAGAGAGACAACACAGTGACACACAGAGAGAGACACACAACATAGACACTGTCTACCTGATGACGATTGCTTGTGTTGCAATCGAAACGTCGTATTCTATTATTTATTTTATTTCTACGTGACTTCACCGTTTATTTATTTATTGAACGGTGCGATCCACGATTCACTGCCAACGAACCACAGAAACTTCTCCAAGCCGGATCGATGAATTCCCCACCCGCATCCACTCGGCCGCGTGGCTGATGGGATGTGGAGTCCAAAAGTCTCCCGATCATCCAGCAGCGCATAAATAACGGCTGATGCTGATGATGCCACGGTGGCAAGGAGATGTTAACCACCTCGTCTGGTCTACAGGCGGTCGTGGGTTCGATCTCGACCCTGACGCCTGCTGCTGTATATTTGGAGTCTGCGTGTGTCTCTCTCTCTCCCCGTGGTCGCGTGGATTTTTCTCCGGCTCCTCCGGTTTTTTTCCCTTCCACATTTAGAATCAACATCACGCGTTTGGAGTATTTGGCAGCTATAAATGTCCACACGATAAGCCACTTCGTTGAGCTATCGTTTGTGGCCAGGTCGCTTCTGAAAAAGAGCTACATAGCTCAGTGGGCCTTGGTAAAATAAAAAAAAGTAATATTTTCTATCTACGTGACTTTACCGAAAGAACCAAATAATATAAAAAAGTGTTAATAGTTTAACACCAATGACTGCAGCATCCGGCAGAGGGCGCGACACTCAAAGAAAATAAACACGCGGACACTCCAAAGATGGGCCCCTCTACAGATATATATTTTTTTACAAATTCCATCAGCCACACCGATTTATTATTTCAGCAGGATTGGTGCAACGCAAGCAACATTTTGGACCGGTTTCGACGTTCAGTGAGCTCATCAGCAGTAAGGCTTGTTTAACACACGGGGAGTCGGAGCCGGTGCGCCTTATAAACCTGATGCTGTTATCAAGCCCATATCTTCCTCCCAAAGATCTGCAAAGATGGGTCCATGATCCCACTGGCTTTAATATACCATAAACTAGATTCAGACCTCCTCAGTCCAGCTGTGCTTGGGACTTTCACAAATCTTCACAACCTTCCAGCGCTCATTACCTCCACATAGATGTATCGCAGGCACGTGACACTACAGCCTCTAATTAGCTCGCTCGCTCGCATTAGTTTCATCATTTAGTGTCCAATCGCTTGAAACACCTTAAGTTACTGTTCTTTACTCATTTTCGAAGGGGTAAACTTTCCCCGATAAGACATGATCAGCGTGAGGACCGCCACACATTTGACACTATTGGGGTTTAACAGCAGCATGATGGGGTGTTTCCACTTTTGTATGTTGTCTGGGGCCGCACGAAATGTCACCAGGACCTGCCAGTGGCCCGCGGGCCTTGCAATGAAGAACACTGCCTTAAGTGAAACATCTCCCTGGATTGCTGCTGATTTAAATAGGAGATCAGCTAATCGTGTACTTACTATCGCTCTCTACTGGATTGGCAGACTGATGCCCGATTGCAGGCCTGCGTGCTGACTCACCTCGTGCCGCACAGAGACTGCTGCCACTGGGAGTCCCCTCGGATAGGCCGCATGCAATCATCGCCCCCGACTCGCAGACTGATGCCCGTTTGGCAGAGCCAGCTTCTCAGTCACCTTGTGCCGCGCAGGGACAGCTGCCACCGGGGGATGCACTTCAATTTGTTTGAGATTAGATGAAATTCGCTTGAAGCGTGTAATGCACTATCAAAAACATATCAACGTTGTAAAGCTGTATTATGTAACTGACCCCATGTCCTTTCTGCAGACATCTGTAACCTCATTCTCAGTCACCGTGCACGGGGGTTGGTGGATCACACCGAGACTGCGTAACCTTCCCGTCGCGAGAAGGAGCCATACCCTGGCTCGCCAGGAGAAAACAGTAAAGCAAACACGGAGGGGCGCTCGTCCCCTCTGTATGATGATGGAGCGTTGCCCACCCAGCGAGTGCGGGATTACTCCGGGCCCTCCGATTTCCTCCCACGTGTAAACCACTCATCGTCAATTGGCCGGTAACACCTTAATGTAAATATATAGGGGACCGCAGAGCTCGGGCAATTGTTGGTTGGCGTTGGCTCACCGCGTGCCTGCCGCGGGTTCTCCTCCCGGCGCCTTCTGAGTCGTCCTCCCTCTCTCGGCGAGAGCGAGCGAATGCCGCACGGCGACAGGATGACATGACTATAACGGTATTATCATTATTATTCTTATTGTCATGATCTACACAGTTCTACTATCAGCACCGCGCGGTGTAACCAAACCCGTTCGCATTGTTCATTGTTCGCGCACGACGGCCGCCGGACACCGCCCGGGTTATTTCTGCGCCGTGTTGAGCGCCGCGCGGCTCTCCGCGGTTATTTCGGTCCGGGCGCGCGCCCTTGATGAGCCATCACGGCAGCGTGCGGGGCGCCACGGATTCATGGCAAGCTGTTAATAATTGCCACGTGTGATATTCCTAACTCTTCTTACTCGACGGGTTGCAACCTAAAAGCGTCGCCAGACTCACTGAGCGCCAGCCCGGCTCTCGTATCCTAAACTAAAAACTAAACTATTTTTTATTCTTTACCAGGTAAAGCCCACTGAGCTATATACTGTAGCTCTTTTTTCAGAAGCGACCTGGCCACAAATGATAGCCCAACGAAGTGGCTTATTATCATGTGGACATTTATAGCAGCCAAACACTCTAAATTCGTGTTTCTAAATGTGGAGGGGAAAACCGGAGGACCCGGAGAAACATCCACGCGACCACGGGAAGAGAGACGCCCAAACTCCAAATATACA